TGGGGCCTTCAGATAAGGATGGAGGAGAGGACAATTACCGAGGCAAATATTTGGAGTGGTCTCCACGAGTCCGGCGACCACGGGGTAGACCTAAGAGCAGATGGTGGGGATGATGTCAGGCCACAATCCCTGCGTTTTACATAGTGACGGGCGGAAAAGTCACAGGCGAGCACGGGGAATATTTCCATTTGTATGTATGTTGAACTTCTTTCGCACCGTACGTAGCCAACTGTGCTAATCGGAGGTGTAGAGTCTGCAGGGCAGCAGCTGCAGGTTCTGTGGAGGGTAGAAGGCGCTGGAGAGGTGTGGGGCATTCAACGGCTTTGGCTACAGTGAAATCTTGATCTTGCTATTTATGATCATAAATGACCTTAATACAAAAACAATCGTAACGCATTATCAGTTGCAGCTTATAAGCTTTATTCAAATCTACGTTTTAAAACAAAAGTCTATTTCGCTCTGATCACATCGTGAAGGTGGATGTCAGCTTCCTTATTGTGTGCATTGAAAACTCATCTAGTTAACACGTATGATAACTTTATTTCAAATTGACAAAATTTAATATTCTTGGTTCTTTCGGTAAAGTCACGTAGATAGAAAATAAAATTAAAATAAAAAAGACTAAAATGTAATTGTAATAAAAAAATAGAAAATAATAAAAGCAAAAAACCACGATGTTTCGACACAAGCGGTCTTCATCAGGCGGAGAGAAAAGAGAGAGGGGGGGGGCAAGCCTCCAAATGCAACCACTTCGAAAAGCTTCCAGTGAGCAAAGCTGTGCGGCGTCAACAGCATGGGCGGGGCAGCCAGCGCAAATGTAGGAGCAAAGCACCACAAGTACATGGAGTTCAAGTGAGCGAGTGCGTTAGACAATGGGGGGAGGGAGGGGGCAGACAGGGGGAGAGAGGGGGGGTAGAGATAGGGGGAGAGAGGGAGGTACAAGTAGTGCTTTAGACAATGGGGGGAGGGAGGGGGAAGAGACAGGGGGGGGGAAGAGGGGGAGGTAGAGATCGAGGTGGAGCTGAAAGGCGAGGGCGCAGTCCAGGTGTGTTAGACAATGGGGGAAGGAAGAGGGTAGAGATGGGGGGAAGAGGAGGGGGAGAGATAGGGGAAGAGAGGGGGGTAGAGATGGGGGAGGGGCATTGCACCTCGCTACTATTTACTTAACAGGAAAAAATGGAGTAACCAGATTTGTCGTTTGAGCCAAAAACCTTGGCACTAATACTCAGGGTAGCAGTGGTTGATACATGAAAAACGAATTTGGTTTTTGGTTTGGCCAAGCATTGACAATTGGGCACCCTATGGTGGCTTAGCACCTTTGATTTGGTCACTTTATCTTCGCTATGTTTGTGACGACACCCTGGACACCCTTACAAATGAGACGCTCCATCTCATACGATTTTTTCCAGGTGAAATATTTTCAACGAATAAAATGTCACCTTCTTGGTTCTTTCGGTAAAGTCACGTAGAAGGGAAATAATAAAATAATAAAAATAAAACATAATAAAATACAATTCTCACGACGTTTCGGCCACAACGCAAGCAGCCGTCCTCAGGTGAAGAACAGGTCTATCGGAAAGACAGCGTCTGAAATTCTGTCGGAAAGACAGCGTCTGAAATTCAGACGCTGTCTTTCCGACAGCCGTTCTTCACCTGAGGACGGCTGCTTGCGTTGTGGCCGAAACGTCGTGAGAATTGTATTTTATTATGTTTTATTTTTTTATTATTTCCCTTCTACGTGACTTTACCGAAAGAACCAAGAAAATGAATCCCTGCAGTCACTAAAGCTTTAAATTAAAATGTCACCGTTTGTTAGTCTTTGTCCCGTAGCGAGAGCCACGATTTTAAGTTGTCGTTTGAAAGTGGATGGACGCTTACGGTCCGTGTGTGTGTGTGTGTGGTGCAGCATGGGTGCAGGCGGTGCAGGCGTTCATGATCTTGGCCATCCTGGCCTCCTTGGCCTCGCTAGCCATGTTCATGGTGGAGGTCTTGAAGATGAAATGCGGAAAGAAGTTCTGCATTCCTGGTCTACTGCAGTGCTCAGCTGGTAATGCGCACATTGACAGGAACACGGAATAGACAGGGTGGTACAGATGTCTTGTGATCCCCAATGCGTTGACCCCTAACATAGGTTTTTTTTTTCCCATTGAATATTCACTTTTGTTTTAAATAAACCTTACTGTAAAAGTTTTAGAGAATTAAACTGGGGTCACAAGACACCTGGACCACCCTTGAACCGAGATGCGGTCCATGCATTATCAGTAGCAAGAATTAATAGTCTCGTGTACTTCTGGCGTATGGCTAGATTTGTGTGTGAAAAAACATCGAAACGAAAGTTCAATATCAATGTTCGTGAGCCACACAAATGAGTGGTGGTTTTCGTCGACGCACTCTGTCTGGGTTTCCTATCAAAAGCTGGGGGCTGTCTTTGATCTTCCGCCTGTGAAGTGAGAAAGCGCACAGGGTCCGGCTGAGGTCTGGCTTCGGTTCGTTGCGGCCCCAGGAAAAAAATAAGATTTCCCTTTTCAACACCATGAATGCAATAGCAACAAAAAAAACCTCTCGAATTACATCCGCATGCGATTTTGACCATTTTTAAATCCTTTATATTAAGTTCGCATGCTTGCTTGCTTGCGTGCTTGCTTGCTTGCTTACGACCGTGCAAACCTTTCGGTCGTTTTTTATCCCACTTCCCGTGATCCAATCGAGCTGACATTTTGCACACAGACTTGTTGTGCGAGACAATTAATGTTCGTGAAAAAAAATTCCCAAAATTTTACACTTTTTAGGCAAAAAAAAAGTATTTTACATATATTCAAATAGAACGCATTCATGGCTTTGGCTGAACGTCAGAGTGCAAGAGCCCAGAGCGTAACCCCTCCACAGGCCGTGGCGGAGTAGCGCAGTTGGTAGCGCCCTCGCTTCCCATGCCAAAGGTCGCGGGATCGATCCCCGCGTCCTCCACAGGCGAATATATTTTTAAATCCTTTATATTAAGTTCGCCGCCACGCATATAAAGGATTTATAGTGAAAAACTTTGTTTTTACGGGTTTACTTGTTAGATCCAGTGCATATATGAAAAAAACACTTGCAAATGCCCATAGGATATATGAAATCCTGATATGCAATTTGCATTTCATCAATGTATCTTTCAGAAATGTAAAATGTTACCGTTTCCAAAAACATTACTGTGGCGTAAAATTTCAACCGGGTGTTCATCACGTTGGCTTGCTTCAGTTCACACTCCCGTCAAGACAAACGCAGCTCATTTTCCACCCCTTCCTCTGCCCCCCAGGCCTGTGTGCCCTCATCGCTGCATCCATCTTCACGGCCCGCTCGCACGCCCACCACTGGGCCAACGCCTGCCAGCAGAATTTCACGCTGGTGCACAGCGGCCACCCGTGCTTCAATGTCACCCTGTTCCACCCGGGACACAACGGCACGCCATTCTTCCTGGCCTGGTCCACCGTGCCGCTGCTGATCATCAGCGGGCTGCTCTACACGTTCCTCGAGAAGAAGGAAAGTTTCCCCGTCATGGCCACCAAGTAGAAGAAGGGAACGACGTTGGCACCGCATGCACCACGCAACAACAACTTTCATAATCAACGTTTTTGGGTTAGATCGCGTTATTTATAAATGTGTCGTAACCCTCCACCACCCGACACGGCCAATAAGCAAAAAAGTGTCACGTTGACAAAAGACAAATAGTTCACTTCTTTAGCCCACCGGTGTGTTGAAGCGTGAAACCAATTGTAAACGTTGTGGTTTCACGCTTCAACACACCGATGGGCTAAAGCAGTGAACTATGTCTTTTGTCAACGTAACACTTTTTTGCCGATTGGCCGTGTCGGGTGGTGGAGGAGGGTTACGACACATTTATAAATAACGCGATCTAACCCAAAAACGTCGATTATGAATATTGGTCGCGAAAGCCTGATACGTGTTAAACAACGACGACGGCTCTGCACGTGCCGCCCAAAAAACAAACAATAATCAAGGTGCGGGTAACACTAAAACCCGCAGGTCACGAGGCCAGGGCTCGTGCCAAAAACCCTCACGGTTGGACAAACGTCGTGCAATTTTAAAATTGTTTGCGAACTACTGAAGCCTATATAAAGCAGCTGAAATGTACGTTATTAATCAAATATTGGCGCAAGGGAATAAAAAAAAATGTGGCGCCGTGACCCGAGCCGAGCCATCGGCTATAATCTGCACCGACGAGATTTACCGTTTCTACGAGTTTATTGAGTTTCAGCTCCTGCCAAATTGTAAACCTGCAATTACAAATTAATGGTGCCTTGAAGATTAGAGCTGTGAATTCCGCATATAATTTGCAACAGGTTTAGAATACTCAAGATTTGAAGTTTTCGTGACTGCAAAGGTCCATACTCTTTGGTTTTTTCGGTAAAGTCACGTAGGTTTAAAAAAAAAATTTATCACAATTTATTTATTAGATTTTTTTTACCTACGTGACTTTACCGAAAAAACCAAAGAGTATAGTTTAGAATACTCCGTTTACCATTTTTCAGTGCCGTTTCAAAGTAACGGGGCGGTGGTGGCTATGCACACCTGTGATCCGGCACTGTGGAAGCAAGCGAGTGGATCAAACAAATAAAGATACGTTGCGAGACCCCCTTCCCACGAGCATCGAGGTGCAATGCTCCGGCCTCTGCCAGCAGAATGCTGGACGGCAAAGTGTGGGCCGATATCATCCGTCCCCCCTTCTGTATGGGATAGAGTGTTGCTCCCTCGCATGTGGTTTTTTTTTCCCGGGTCCTCTGGTTTCCTTCGACGTGTATAAACACCAATTGGCGGCTGAAAAATAGCAATTGCTGGTGCCGGCTCAACCCCTGGCAGCCTTCCAGCTTTGCGAGATGCAATTTGCATGAACGACGCTATATAAAAATGTAATCATTTAGATTTTTTTCTAATGTTGCAGTACAACAGCCAATCCAAAACGTACTGAGTCATTTATATGGATGCACACTAACCAAGTTGAGTATTCTTAAAATTGTTTATATCCACTTTAAAAAAACATTAACAGGAAAGGTGCACATACACGTTTCTTTTACACACGTTTCTACATCGAGTGGTGGAGGCAGTACATTTACCATGCAACTTCAAACCTCTGCTGCTCAATGCAGGAACTCTTCATGGGGAAACTGTACTATTAAGCACCAGTCCTCTACACCATCATACTGAACATGTACCTTCAAACACTTCACTCCATGGTGTACCACTAGGAAAGCATTTTTACTGCACGGGCATCTGCTCATGTGTGACCCCTACTCACGAGTCGCGACCCGATTTTAAAAAATGCTAAAAATCTTGAGGTAAATTTTTAACCAAAAATAACTTTATGAACGAAGACAATTGTTAAAAAGTACTAAAACACATTATTATATCCTATCTGTGAATACAAATACAGCAATATGTAAAGCACTGTCGTTTTAAGATTACTAAAACGATGTGGGTGGTGATTAGTTCCAAAAACAAGGGAGGATCAAACGTTTAAGCTGATGTTTCAACTCAAGCCAAACCCAGGCCCCCCCGCCTGCTTATTACAACCAGTGGGAATATCGTGGATAGATATCGTCAAATTCTGTCCAAAAAAAAGCCTCAATTAAAATGAATGTTACAAAATACCACACACAATGGCCGGTAATGCGAACGTGTTACAATCGGTTCGGGCACACGACTGCCGCTCAAGAACACAAGCACTGCATTCCGTCACCGAAGCCACAAGTTCTCCACCTGCAACACACAAGTCGAAGCCGCATCCAGGGGGGTCCGCACACTGCCAGTCATATAAACGGGTGAGAGCTGCAATGTAGACGCGGATTTACACAAAATGCACCAGGCTGTGTTGTGTTAATACGGCCAAAGTCCATGGGCACTGGCCGTGGCTACAAATGGCAGCGGGCAAATTTCAGTCGTTTCGACAGCAGAAGTGACACCACCACCCCCAGGCATGACTTAAGAGGGCGCTTCGGAGCCAAATGGTACATGGAACCAACTAAATTTGGACCATTTCGCGTGCTCGTTTTTGGTCACGCTGCATGTTAATGGCAAACGTAAGAAGCGGAAGACACTGCAAGTACAGTCCTTAGTTGTTAACCCTATGTCACCGAGAACAATTACCACACAAACGTTGCTAAGAAAGCTTCACCTTCAAGTATTACCACTAAAATAATAGTTTGCTATGTTGTATAATACACAGTATAAGTTTACACACCAGTTTTAAGCAACATAAGATTTGAGTGCAGACACTGACTGGGTGAGGTTTGGCACCAATTGCTCAAGACTTTGGGAACTAAGAAAATTAACGGCTTCTCTTTTGCAGCTCGCACACACGTAACAAAGTGTGCCATTTCCACATTTCCTACTTCCACTCTACACAGAAGAAATGGGGTTACTAAAATATACTTTCAAGTGTTACATTACTGTTACGGTGATGGTTTACCTGAAATTCACTTATGCTTACGTTATCAAACTTAACCTACCTTCGGCATGTATGTAACATCTTTTTGTGTTCGATTGTTGTAATGTCTATCCCTATATTAAAAAAATCTCATTTTACAATGACCTCAAAATGATGGCCTCCGCTCACCATATCTCACGGGGGTTCCCCGCATTCGAGTCGTCGCCGACGCCAACAAAATACAGCTGCTTGGGTGGCACTTGTGGCCGATGCTAGTGCTACTGTATCGAGTTAACAAGCTCCTCCTTCACACGTTATCTCAACACCTTTTGACCTTTGTGGAATGAAATTAACTCTTTGAAAACGGGTACTCAAGTAGTGAAATTCTAACAGCAAATAAAGATAAGAAGTGTTGCTGTGAAAATACAAAAAAACGCAAGACCTCCTGGTTGAACACATCAGCACTCCATACCACTTCATTGAGAGCAACCTCGATAACAGAAATGTCCACATCATCACCTTAAATGTTCACAAAGTGGAACAAACAGAATTGAACATACCGTTTTCAAAATAAAACATTTATTACCGTAAAGTCTACATAAGCTACTGCTTTTTGTTTTAATTTAAAACAGATTAAATAATGGCCTTAGTCATAAAAATGCAGTGTCATGTCATATATAAAAACAAGTACAGATGAATGTAAATTACTTAGAAAATAAAATATACAAACACTAGTATGCTACACTTATCGATTCACAGCAGACACCTATCAGCGATTTGCTATGCAAATAAAGAAGGTTAAGCAGTGTTACTGCTCGTTCTAATGTTTTTTTTTCAACTCGGGGTACAAAATAGTCGCATTACAAACTGGCAGTTTCAAAATAGCATATTTCGTGAAACAAATGTACATAAGTTATTTTGAGATGGAGGGCTTTATTTTCCCAGAACACGAAGAATAGCTTCAGGGGTATCAACTTCAAGTCGGTTACTTGGATGTAAAAATAACACTTTACAAGTTCAGCTGAGCGCAACACTTTGGGCCACAAGGTGCCAACACACAACACCCTCCAGAAAACGATCAAGGGGTCTTGAAGTCAGTGCACTGTGGTTCACAGAACGGTCCGTATCTGCCATAGACGTCCTTGGCCCTGACGGCGAAGTAGTACTTGCTGCGGCAAACGAACTGCGTGAGGGTGCACGCCATGGGAAGCGGCAGGGCCTTCACCTCCCCAATTTTCTTCCACTGAGAGGGCATGGGGCTGTTGGGGTCCTCGTGGTAGGCAAACAGGTGGTAGCTCTCGACGGGCGCACACTTGGGGTTCTCCTCCGCCACGTTCCACTGCAGCACGATGGCGTTCTGGTTGTCGGAACGGCCCAGCTTCAACACGGGCCTCTGGGGAGGCAGTTTGGCAGCGGCCTCAGTGGGCAGGCCTGGAGGAGGAGGGGGGGTCCCAGGCAACGGCGCTGGGTAGCTCTGACGCACCGGGGCCTGCAGAAGAGAGGCGACGATTACAGACAACTCTTGAATGTCAATTCACTCGCATCGTGCGCAATGGCTTCGACAACACTGCCTTTTGTGAAGTATTAAGATGGATTTTATATATTGCACTTTATTTTATAGATTGGTTTCAGATTTAAAAGTCCTGGATTTTTATAAGAACAATTTCGGTTTTTCCCATCCACATTTAGAAACATACATTTTGATTATTTACATTATTTGGCTTAAATACATTTCCACATGATGAGCCACTTCGTTGGGCTATCATTTGTGGCCAGGTTGCTTCTGAAAAAGAAAAGCTCAGTGGGCTTTACCTGGTAAAATAGAAATAGTCAAGTAAATGTTTTCTATACTTTGTATTGTTTGTTGTTGTAACTCTCAGTCCCACTCCTACCGGACATCTGTGAAAAAGCACTTTATAGCTCATCGGATTCTTCCAGTACAAATAAAGATTCTGATTTCGGATATATTCTTCACTGCACAGTGAAGCATTTACAAAAACAGACTTAGATAATGTGCTTCATGTGCTCATGTAAAATGTCTTGGTACTAGCAATAGTGACATGACGCCACGCAGCTTTACTTACGATGGGAAAAGCGTGGACGTGACGGCATGCAAGCGACTTCCCTTCCGGTTTTTGGATTAATCCGAAACAACAAATATTCGGATCATCCAACATATTTCATAACCTAGCTCTGAATTTCGAATATTTTAAGACGAATCAAAAATTCGGGTGGACATCCATGCACTATGGTTTACTCCGGTCCAATTTATGACAATCCACATTTACGAGTTTACATCATGCCACCATTGATCGATTTACGAAGCAGACACTTGGTTTACGACGCAGACACTTGATTTACGACGCATCTTCCGACATGACTCCAAACAAATCTTAACAGTGGGTTCGTTTTCCGATGTGACCTGGCACGGGAACTTTTGTTATTATCAAGTATATTTGTGGATTTTCACCGATTAAACCCTGTTAAATATGGCTGATAAAAGGAAAAATGCATCAGCAATTTTCTACTGTCTATAGAAAAAAATAAGGGTCCAATTTATGACGGTCCGATTTACGACTACAAGGTTCCCAGGAACATATTGTATCGTAAAAGCGGGGACTGCCTTGATATAATTTTACCCAATTTAAGAACATGCAATATTCATGGCTCTCATACAGATATAGAACATCATTTATTAACTCACTTTTGCAGTTAACATCTTTAGACCACATTAACCTGTTCTGAATTTCATTTGAACACTGTGCAGTGAAGAATTTAAAAAAATACAAATATATATAAAACACATGTGATGTTGCAATTTTTTTTTGTACAATCGAGGTCTCTCTGCGGGAGAACAGAGCACATCACAGGTGCTTTAAACCCCTGCACCCCAACGGCGACGACGCTTGCAAGATTAAACGAATCGGACTCGTCTCTCGTGTGAGAAGCCATAAAAACAAAAAAAGAAAACAGAATTCCACCCGAGATGTGAACACTCATCCATTGACGCAACGGGAATATAACGTGACATTTGTCGACATTTTATCCACGCAAATGTTCTCGTATCTCTTGAGAATGGCTAATAAAATAAGGACAGCATGACAATCTGAACAACAACAGGCATCTGTGAAGGATGTTGTGGTATAGGGCAAGGAAATTAATATTTGCTTCGTATATTGTGTGTGTGTGTAGTGGGTGTCGCAGTATACCGTTATGTAGCTGTTTTGATACGGAGACTGAGTGTGGGTAGACGGAGGGGCAGACACTCGCACCATATTCTGAGCCACTCGTCCGTTCAATCCGTTGACCATCTGCGTTGAAAGACCCTGAGAAAGAGATCATCGTCAACACTTTACCATTCAAATCCAAATCATTCTAGATTTGAAGTTTTCGTGACTGCAATGATTCATACTCTTTGGTTTTTTCGGTAAAGTCACGTAGGTAAAAAATTAAAATAAATTAAATCACGACGTTTCGGGCGCAACACAAGCGTCCTTCTTCAGGTGGGGACAACTTAGTGAAAGCACAACGATTAAGTGTGACACACTTAGCGAAAGCACAAACCGCTTAAGTGTGTCACACTTAGCGAAAGCACACCACTTAAGAGATGTGCTTTCGCTAAGTTGGGACAATGTCTGAAATATATATTCTAATTGAGTAATTTGGCAAGTATTTAGCAACTGAAAACCTTGCAGGACCCTCCTGAAAACAAGTCATGAGACTCGGTGTAGCGAAACTATGTTCATTTAAACAGGTAAGTCCCACTGAGCTGTATAGCTCTTTTTAAGAAGCGACATGGCCACAAATGATAGCTCAACGAAGTGGATTCTCATCTGAAAATCTATAGGAGCCAAATATTCTAAACACAAGTTGATTCTAAATGTCGATGGATAAACCGGAGGACCCGGGAGAAAATTCCACGCGACCACAGGGAGAGAGAAATGCAAACTCCAAATATACAGACGTCACACGACTGGAATCGAACCCACAACCTCCTGTATGCCGGGCGAGGTAGTTAACATCTCGCCACCGTGGTGCCCCAGGCTTTCCTGGGTAAATTCGTGTAATAGTAACAATTACCATCTTTAAGTTACAATAACATTGTCTGTCATGACACACGGAGGATTTTCTTTTTTTACGAATGCTTGTGAGCGAACTGATGACCAACTTACTGAAGGCACCACCAGCCGCTGCTGCTGTGTGTAATGAGGCTGGCCGTTGACTGGCATCGCCCCCACCGAGGAGTAAACGGGCACGGAGCTCATGCCCATTTGATTGGAAAAGTTCACAGCTGAGGAAACACCCAACAAAAACACGCACAGTTATAGCCACACACGTAGCGTACACCTTGCTGTTCTCGTGAGCCCATCCTAGTAAGTGCAGCCTCTACCCCCTGTTGGCAAGATGTCACAAAATGTACAAACTCGGTTTTGGTATCCATATGTACACATACACCAATATTTTTGTCAATCGACTGCTGGATGAGGGCATCCCCATCGCGTGGGTGGTTATTTACTGCACTTCACCCACGGTGGTCAATGACGACTAGTTTAGGCGGGGTGCAGACGTTGTAACAGTACAGTACAACAATGGATTATCGCTGCGCAGCCTCCTCTTGACAATGTAGCCCCGCAGCAACCCGTAACACCTATTTTATGCACGGTGGCCGCCAATGCCAAGCACTATCCAAGCCTCATCATGCTTACGCTTCCGAGATCTGACTAGATCAGGCACACTGCGGTCGATTTGGTCACAAGCGGGATCATTCTACTCGCGTTCAAACACGCAACTCACCTGCAAGAGCGACATTTGGAGGAATCTGCTGCATAGGGATGTGGATGAGCTGCTGCTGCTGCTGCGTGGGGGGTGGCCCCTGATGAATCATCTGGCCAGACATAGGCCCCATGTGTGTCCCCGCTGGCCCAAGAGACATGTGCCCATTGCCCCCTTGCTGGTGGTGGTACGGTGGTGGAGGACCCATTGACCCGTAGGTATCCACGTGGCTGTTGACAACCCTCTGCAGTGGTGGGGGTGGTCGCAGATGCTGCTGCTGTTGCTGCTGCTGTTGCTGTTGGCGATGAGGCAGGGGCTGTCGGCCGTGCACTACTATGTTGCCTGCGAAAGATTAACAACGGCCGTTAAAAGGACTGCTTAAAAGATTGGGTGGCACGTACAAGCCACTTTATTGACAATACATAGAGCCTACTGAACAATGTCGAGACGCCCCATGCCAAAGGCCTGGCTGCATTCAGGATCAACGTGACAGTCTCAATCATGCAGCAGCCTCTACAACCCAATCATGGCTCTTCCCATCGATTCTCGGCACACGACGACACCCTTCCCCTCCTGTGGCTGGTACCAATAATCCAGATGCCAAATGTCGATTTTGTTTGGGGGCCAGGCACGTGTGTGCTGCCATCTCGTGGCAAAGATTGGATTTAAAAAAATATTTTTACCAACAATCCAACTGGGCCATCCCACCTTCACCCATATCATTAATGGGGCATGGAGGTGGATGGAAGGGCGCCACGGTGGCAAGATGTTCACTACCTCGCCTGGTAGACAGGAGGTCGTGGGTTCGAGCCTGACTCTGACACCTGCTGTATATTTGGAGTTTGCATGTTCTCTCCGTGGTCGTGTGGATTTTTCCCCGGGTCCTCCGGTTTTTCCCTCCACACTTAGAATCAACATGCATTTAGAGTATTTGGATGCCATACATTTCCATATGATAAGCAATTTGGTTGACCTATCATTTGTGGCCGGGTCGCATTTGAAAAATAGATATACAGCTCAGTAGGCCTAACCTGGTTAAATAAAAAGTTGCTTTAGTTTAATTTCAAAACAGAGGGCTGGCTGCAGTACAACATGCAGTTGTAAAAAAACACATTGGCAACGAAAGGGTTAAACAAGCGGGACACAACTCACCGTCAACAACCTGCTGACTCATGGACACTGGCACACAGATGGAGGTGTGAGAAACAGCTCCTAGGGGCGCCTTTCCGGCGCCGTGCTGCTGCTGCTGGTGAGCCGCTGCCGGCTGCGAGTGCACCTGCGCCACCAGCACCCTGTCGTGGTTCGCCTGGCTCAAGGGGGCCCGCGACAGGGCCATGCCGTGTTGCGTGGCTGGAGAGATGCGCGCCGGCGCGTGCTGGGATTGATGCTGCGATTGATGCTGCGAAGGATGCTGCTGCTGCTGATGATGCTGCTGCTGCTGAGCTTGCTGGAGCTGTGACAACTGCTGCTGATGTTGCGGTGGCTGGTGTTGACGGTGCTGCTGTGACTGTACTTGTGAAGTTCGAATTTGTTGTTGTTGCTGAGTAGGTACAATTTGTTGACCTTGCCCCACCCTTCCTTGGTTCTGTTGACCTTGCGTGCCTCTGAGCTGCTGTGGTGAAGCATGTTGCTGCAGCTGTTGCTGCTGCTGTTGCTGCATCTGCTGCTGTTGCTGCATCTGCTGCTGTTGCTGGACCTGGGTGTTCCTTGAAGATGGTGGTGCCATATTTTTGGGCTGGGCTGAGCCACTAGAGGGTCCTCCCGGCAGGTGGCGCTGTTGGCTCGCCGTACTGGATAAACCAGGTTGGCTTCTGTTAACCGTCCTCATGCCTCGTTCCATGCCAGTTACTACATAAAAACATCACAACAAACAACAACGGTTACTACTTAACTGCACACACAAAAAAAATTGCTCGATTTCAATCACTTGAGAATAATCACACGTGACCAAAATCAGACTTTTTCCATTTCAACAGACCATTCAAATGGTTCATGTTCTTGACGGCCATGATTTTTTTCATAGCGTTGCCATCGGGCAACGCTGTGATTCTACGGTCGTATTTGACGACGAAACCACGGGAGTAAATGCTCGTAAATAAAAACTGTCCCCGAGACCGTCCACTGAAAGTCGAGACCACACCACACATCAACACATGTGAACTTCTTTACTTGATGGTACCTCCTTTGCCAGTACCAACATATAAGAATAGGTTTTTCCCCTTTTTTATAACAAAACTGAAAATTTTTACAAGGAATCATGTCTGCATTAACCACAATACTTGTGGTCAGAATGCAAACAAAAAACACTCTGATAATATATGCATTGTCCTTGAAACTGATTGGTCCACACCAGAGACAGCTTTCTTTCGAGCCTCGTCTCAAATGGTGTTAGACCAGAGGACGCCAAAAGGCGTACAGCTCTAAGACAATGCACTATCAAAGTAATGAGAGCAGGGGGTGAGCATCATTTTTTTGTTTGCATGACGCTCTCCCTTTGATGAAGTCAACCGAACGACAAAACACAAGAGATAGGAGCTTCGCAATCAACGTATTCTTCCAAATTCGGTGGGCTCAGCCCCATTCATGGGTCACAGCTTCAAATCCAAGAGGTTATCACTTTTCACATGGCTCAAACTCAGTTGTATGTTTCAACAATATTAAATATGGGAAACAAAAAGATATAAAAATAACCATTTCACAATCAAAATGGGTTTAATAGGACGCAATATCTTTAAAACCGAGACCACCCAATATGCGGTGGAGAGAAGCGGTAACCTCGACTGGGCAATTGACAAACGACAGTTGTTATTTTGTTTCCATGGCTATAATAAGCCCCCCCTCCCCGTATATTAATTTATTAATGAACCTGTGATGACTTCCTCGTGGTTGGGACTCGGTTTAAGGAATGCTACGCTACAGCAAACCGCCATGAACTAATATTACATAAAACGAACACTTATTTACCCGAACTTGTTATTCATTGTGGAAAGTCAATGATGTAGTGACAAATTAATGGGATACTAACCAATTAAATACTGCCTCCCTTAAATTACTTCCAAGCTCAAAACTTCCACAATACAAGAACTCTATGGTTAACGTCCAATGACTAACAACAAGTCCTGGGCGACGGTTAGTACCAGAATGCTCTTGTCAAACTTACTTAGAATATCATCGTCCTCTTCTGTGAGATCAATGACAGCGTCTGACGTCGCAGAGTTTCTCCGTAAGGCCTAAAGGAGACAAAAACACAACATCAACACGAAGGTCACAATATTACTAAAAGTGTACACTGAAATTCATATCCTTTGGGTTTTTCGGTAAAGTCACATAGATATTTTCTTTGAACCTATCTACGTTCAAAGAAAATATCTACGTGACTTTACCGAAAGACCCAAATAATATGAATTCCTGCAGCCACAAAAAAGCTTTAAGTCAAGATTTGTACACTGAAAAACAAAAACGATAGTATGTATTAAATTGTTTAGCACGATACATAGCTAACCATGCTAAGCCGCTTAAATCATCAACCATTTCTTCCACTCTCTTACTTTTACTTACGCCGTCTGCGGAAACGACAATCGGTGTTCTCATGAAGGGGTACAGTTACCGGTCTGATGGCTCAACGGCAGAGCAAGCGGCTCACAAGTGGAAGATGCAAGTTCAAATCATGGTTTGGGGGTTGACTTCAGGGTCGATAAAATAAGTTCCATCTTGTGGAGAAGACAACAGTGGCTATCTTATGATGCGACTTCATCCCTGCCATCGGAATGTGGAATTTCCACCAATGGCCCAGGGCTGTGACCAGGAGATGAGTGCAACCTTACTGCTAATTTCAAACTCCACTTTTTTTTACTAAACTAACCCTTTCATTGTCAACGTAGTTTTTTTCAAACTGTATGTCATCCTAAGCCAAGCCCATTGTTTTGACATTAAACAACAGCTACTATTTCTATTTTACCAGGTAAGGCCCACTGAGCTATATAGCTCTTTTTCAGAAGCGACCTGGCAACAAAATGATAGCTCAACCAAGTCACTTATATCATGTGCAAATTTACAGCAACCAAATACTCGAGACGCATGTTTCTAAATGTGGAGGGGAACACCGGAGGACCCAGAGAAAAATCCATGCGACCACAAATATACATGCGTCAGGGTCAGGTTCATACCCACAACCTCCTGTACACCAGGCGAGGAAAGTTAACATCTTGCCACCGTGGCGCCCGTTTTAGCAGGAAACCACTCCAACATGAAAGCTACATGGACTTCCAATGACCTTGAGCGCGTAAGCTTTGATTCATAGAGACGCACACTAACCTGGCTGGAGGTCCCAGCTGTGCCGCTGCTTGGAGGACTTCTCGACGAAGCTTGCTGCTGCTGCTGTTGTTGACTCAGCACATTCTGGGAAGAAAGCCCCTGGCCGGATACCGAATGCCCGGGCAGTCTGCTTGCGCTGCTACTACCGGTCCCCACCGGCACAGCTGCGCAAATACAACCAACGTTTGATTAGCATGGTTGGCTAGGTACGGTGCAAAAGAAGTTCAACATACATACACTGGCTGCCACACCATGCTACACAAGTGGTTAGCAAGACACTGCGTGAATAGCATACACCTTTAATCTGTTCATAATAAAGGTTTTCGGGTTTGATCGCGTGATTATAAATGTCGCAAACCCTCCACACGAGCAATCAGTAAAAAATGTGTCACGTTAACAAAACGCCAATTAGTTACTTCTTCAGCCCACCGGTGTGTTTGAAGAGTGAATCCACAACATTTAGAATTTGAGTACAGCATTTGGTTGGTAATTACATCCAGCATCTTCGGGCGATTTGCCAGAACAGTGAAGCTATCCACGTGCTTCCGGTCTTAAATAGAGCAGGATGACGTCATCATTGTTGAACCCCATCAGGTTTCGAGATCAGAGGCGGAGGTGGGGGGTATTGCAATTATGTAATAGATCAGTAATCAGCCATTTAGCATGTGACTCCCCTAAGGAATTGCAATGTATTGTGTATCACTTAATACGCTTCCAGGCTGCGCCGAGTCTGTAGCTACCACAACGGTTGAAATTAATTGTATTTTTCTCAATTCGAATTGATTCCCTAATTAGTCTTGGCCAGTAATAATTAGTTATGCATAACACTTCAACGTTAGTAAAATCAATGTCCTTGCATTACAGATGGGACGTAACATTAGACTAAAAGAACACCAAAGGATAACGTTGAAGTGTTATGCAAAACTAATGACTGGCCAAGACTAATTCGAGAATCAATCAAAATTTAGAAAAAAATTATTTCAACCGCTGTGATAGCTACAGACTCGGCGCAGCCTGGAAGCGTATTAAGTAATACACAATACATATTGCAATTCCTTATAGAGTCGCCGCATGCTAAGTGGCTGATTACTGATCTATTACATAATTGCAATACCCCCCCACCTCTGCCTCTGATCTCTAAACCTGATGGAGTTGATCAATGATGACGTCATCCTGCACAATTTAAGACCGGAAGCAGGTGGATGGCTTCACAATTCTGGCAAATCGCCTGAAGATGCTGGATGGAATTACCTGCAAAACGTCGTACTCAAATTCTAAATGTTGTGGATTCACTCTTCAAACACACCAGTGGGCTTAAGAAGTAACTAATTGCCATTTTGTTAACGTGACACATTTTTTACTGATTGGCCGTGTTGGGTGGTGGAGGGTTGCGACACATTAATAAATAACGCGATCTAACCCAAAAACCTTTATTATGAATAATACTGGTCGCGAAAGCCTACGTGTTAAACGGACCTTTAATCTGCTGTTATTAATCGATACGAAATAAGCCTGGTCTGTGTAGTCATATTCCATTGCAGGGATATGTTTATGTAAAAGATCATAGATAATCAAGGTAACCTGAAATTAACATAAACATGCACATTTACAAATTTGTGTGTATAAAACGTATTACAGGTACTGTAATATGAAAGTTTATGTGAACACAAAAAAAGTTAATTTTTTTTTAAATCGAGCAAATGACTAAAGCGGAATGTAAGGAAGTCTGGATGATATTCAATGTTTTCAATAAGCACTCTCGCTTGATCTATAGCAGTGGTTCTTAACCTGGGATGCACTCACCCGCTGGGGGTGCGAGATGCCCTTTCTGGGAGTGCGAGACATAGTTTTTTTTTAAGGTAAATCATCCAAAACACAAATTAAGCACGGGCACGCAGGTACAACTACTTTGTTTCATCAAACCCGATATATTTATTCATATTATACATTTTTAATGATTGAGAGCCAAAGGGATGCAGGCTGCAGAAAAGGTTAAGAACCACTGATCTCTAGCAACCTCAATCCTACCAACTCTTTAGTGAAATGCGAACCAAACACTAGTGGTGACAAAACACATTCCACTTCTCTCTCTCAATACAGGCAATACAAAGCGATTCATATTCAGGAAAGAAAAAAAACATTTCTTTAACGCAGCTCTAAGGTGTTTTTTGCCGGGGGTGGCATTTAGGGAAGTTTACCGAACCTTACTTTTTAAATTAAATATCATAAGTAATATATTAACTCATGTCCGAAACCGAAAGGTCATTATTGTCTAGCTCAACCCGTATTTGCATCACAGCCCCGCAGACCACCTAGAGGACCGTCGCAAATCATCTGGTGGTGCGAGAACCACTGCACTACAGTGTTATACACAACAATAGATGTCATACGAAAAACAAATAATCGTCATCAGCATGCAAATACACAGTTGATCACGCCAACACTCCGTTTCACCCTCTCCAGTCCAACCAAGTATCTCCAGCACACCCCTTTCCTGGCTCCGGTCTTATCTCTCTTCATGCACTTCCTCTGTTTCTTTCAACCACGACAACTCCCCTTCTCTCCCCCAAGCCTCTGTCCGCGGAGACCTTGGCTATTCTCCCTCTGTATCTCGCGTCACTTCTTCGCCGACGACGCTCAGATTAAATGTTCCTTTCCCTGCCTTTACCCCTGACCGTGCCCTCGCGCATTTCCAGCTGCTAAACGACTGTCCAATCCTGGATGTCAACGCCACTACCTCTACATCAATCATTCCAAAACTGAAATTAGTTTCTTCCCTTCTCCCTGCTTCCTTCCACCCCGTCCTACCATCTCATCTCCTCCCTTCTTCCTCGCTCTTCCTGCCTCTCGTCTGCTTACAACCTCGGGGTCATCTTCAACTCCTCCCTCTCCACCCACACCTCTGCCCGCACTTGCCGCTTTCACCTATTTAATATCCGTAAAATCGGTCCCCTTAACTCACTCTCTGCTGCTAAACTCCTGGTTCACTCGCTTGTTTTCACTCAACTTGACTCCTGGACCGCTCTTATTCTCGGCTTTCCTGCCTACGCCTTCACTCCTCTCCAACAACATGTACAAAACGCCTCAGCCCGGATCATCTTAACCTCCCCCACAATTCCCAACTCCACTGGCTCCATCTACTATCGCTGTCGGTTTAAATGTCTCACTCGGGTCTACATCCCTCCATGGTCTTGCCCCAACTTATCTTGCTTCCCTCGCTTCTCTGATCTGTTACTACTCTGTCCCTACTCTGTCCCGTCCCATCCTCTACGCTCAGTCTCTGCCGTCCTTCTCTGTGCCTCCCTCGCCCTGTGCCCAGTCTCGCTCTCTCCTTCCTTCTCCATTCTTGCCTCCCTTCCATTGAACAAACTACTACTGCACATAAAACAATCTTCCTCCCTTAAAACAACCCCCATCTATTCTCCACTAGCCTATCATCGTGCTACTCCTACTCCCTGTCCTGGAACCCCAGCTACAACCATGCCTACCCAAACCCCTATCACTATCCCGATCACTAACCCAGCCCCCAACCCCTCCAAAAACTCTCCAGCCTGTTCTCCTGTCACCTTAACTACACCACCAATCTGAATAACCCAACTCTTCATTTTAATCACTATCATCTTATGTACAAGTTAATGATTGTTGTAAAGCACCTTAGAATTAATCGCTATATAAATTTAATATAAACTCATATGTGCGCTGATATGTTGGGATCATTTCTCCGATCCTGTAATTTGCGACGCACCGCAGAGGTCAGTCCCGTAATGCGCAAAAAAATTGCGCCAGGATGAATTATATCTGTGCGACTCGGTTAATTTGCAAAAAACATTGGCGGATAACACAGTTGGTGCATCCGTGATCAATTAACAGATGAGGTTAGGATTTTACTTTTAAAGCCCCAAATAGACCAAAGCTGCCATATGGGTCTGTAAAAAAAGGCTTTGTGTATTTTAGACTCAAACATCCAGCCTATTAAAAAAAAATCACAAAAATTCTATACAACTTAACAGATCCCATAACCACAGCTGGTCTGTGCGGACGCAAGACGAACCCCATTTCGAGCAGCAACAACAACAAAAACTGCATTCGTATCTGCAGCTCTGCGCTTCTCTCAGCAGCTATGGCCTTTCCGTTTGCAAAACTTTTTTTTTGTCAATCTGCAGCTCTGCATTGTTCTATGTGCAGCTCTGCATCTGCACCTCCGGGGTTTCTATATTGCAGCTACACTCTTCAAACCAGTGCTAATTACCAAGGGGCCGGAGGCATCTTTGCAATGCGCGGTGATTAACAAAAAATGTATTAACAAAACATAAATCTGCGCACGCCGCCAATGTAGCGTTGTATAAGCTTCACAGGTTTTGTTGAGATTTCATGGTCAACTATCCGGCATAATTACGGTAAAAGTCAGGAACAGCGAGTAACCCGCCACACACACAGGGATTCACGGATTGCAGCGTTGATTTTTAAAGTTCTGCTGCACAGGACTGCGAGTTCTTGTAATGCTTATACAATCTAGTACAAGACTGCAAGTTCCTGTGAGGCTGATGCAATCTAGTACAGGACTGAAAGTTCCTGTAAAGCTCATATAATCTAGTACAGGGCTGCAAGTTCCTGTAAAGCTTACATAAACTAGTACAGGACTGTTCCTGTAGTGAGCATGCAAAGTTTATGGGCATGGGAAGGGTACATCTTATACAAATGTACATCCGTACTTACGTGAAAAAAAAACACTTCATGCATTGAACATACATATAAAGTAGACATTTATTTTGAATGAGCAACTGCTACGGTACCTGCTCTTGGAGCGGTATGCGATGGAACCGACGACGTTCTGACTTGTGCATTTGGCGAAACCCCCGTGGTTCCCGTGCCCGAGAACCTCGAGGCCGGGTTCCGGTTCGCAACAGGCGACTGCATGGCCACCGAGGGACGACCTGCCCCGGCGTGTGGCAGCTGCGTGCCGGGCGAACACGTGGTGCTGGCGTTTGACGACGGCACACGGGAGAGCGCAGATGGAAGGGCGAGGGACTGTGTCGAGTGAGAATTGGAAGAGCCGTGGTTTTGGCTCGCGGCCCCGACCGGAGGAGTCCGTGCGACGCTCGATGGTGGAGGAGCCACGGAAACGGACGGCAGCGCCGGGGGCATCTGTCCCACAGAAGACAGGGCGGCCGTTGCCTGGCGGGGCGCCGTGAAGTGTGGTCGCGCAACCAGTCGCACCCTCTCCTCCCCGCCAGGCACGCCGCCCAGAGCCGGCGGGACATCGGATGGTGGGATCGCCCGGCCCCTCTCATCCCCCGATATGGCGCTCGAAGACATCTGGATGGCAGACGACGTGGCTGCGCGGGCTCTCTCTTCCCTGTACAACAAGCCGGCGACCGTCTGGGCGGGAAACGGCACTGCCAGCCGTGCCCTCTGGGGCGAGCCCCCTATTGCCGCTGTGCCAGAGGCAAGCCCAGGCGGAGCTTAAAACACAAGCATAGAGGAAGGTCGTGAATGAGCACACATCGCTTCACATTGAAGCATTATCAATACCATATCATGAAAGTCAATTTCAATTAAAATACAAAGAATCTTTTACTCACCACCATTAAGGTTGCTTCCAACAGATGAAACAGGACTACTTCTTGGCATTCCAGGTTTGCTCTGCATTCTGTTGGCCACAGCCCGTAGATTGTTAATCATTTCTCTAACAGTAAACCTGCAGATTAAAAAGAGTTACTTGATAAAAAAAAATGTGCACGTGTCATTAATTTATCAGTGAATATTGCTTCATCGCCACCTAAGTGCATGTAAATAAACCACTTTATTCAAGCACCTAATCTTATCATGACCAATTTTCACAGCAGCAGTGTAACATTCAACAACACATGCTCCAAAGTATTTAGGTGTAAACAAATAAAGAGGTCTTCCCCCTGCTCAACTGAGCAAATTGGTGGCACTTTCCTCCAACGTGGCACCTGACAGTCATGAAAATTTCATATACCCGTGGCTGAGAGCCAATTCTTTCCATTGGATAATTACACAGTTGACTATAACCAAAATGACTCTCATTTTATCGATGCAGGAGGTAAACAAACCCCCATATATTGTGATTCGAAATCAAACCTTCCAATTGCAAGTCAAGTGCTCCAGCTGCGATAACGGTGTACACATTTCGCGAGTTCCCCATACTGAGTAAAGCAATGTTGTTAAAATTATACGCGAGGCAAAGAAAGACATACCCCTTGTTTTTGAGTTGCTGGCTGTTAGGATTGGAGCTGGGAGGAGATGGTGATGCAAATGTGGTGGTGGCGGCAGTAGTAGTCATCGAAATCTGGGGCTGGGTAGCAACAAGCGCTTCACTTGATACCTGCCAAGAACAAAGCATGGGGGGGGGGGGGTCAACAGCTATCCACCAAACAATCCAACAATACCAAGAACACCAACACATGATACCAACTACAACCCCCAGGAAGCCTGAAGCTATTTGTGTCTTCTAGAACAGATCCTATCAACTGCCTATTTGGGGTGAAAAAAGTAACGGAGGCTTGAAAAGCAGCATCTGCATTTCCATATGTGCATACACAACATGCATAACACGTGGGATGCGGCTTTGTTCAGGTGTTCTGATATTAATGACTTAAAATGCAGTGTATGACATCCCTATTTGGAGGCCAAATGCAAAAGATAATCACACGCAGAAATACTTTAGTTTACTATCCTGCTGATGGATACTTGGAATTTTAACTTTATAAGACAATGTTAATGACAGTGAATACATTCTAACTAGTGGGAAACCTGTTGAGATTCAACAGTAATAAATCATTCCACCCCCCTTCCTCCTGCAAGCACCATCCGCCACTGCACACCCCCCCATGGTAGCCATCCACTGTAAGATTGTTTTAAACACGGCTTGCATACATAACAGGTTTTTTTGGTAAATATATGAATGTGTCATTAAACACGCCACCACCCAACACAGCCAATTAGTAAGGTGTGTTACATAAACAGAACGTGCCAATTCGTTACTAGTACAGCACACCGGTGTGTTGGAGAGCAAAGCCACAATATTTACAATCAGAGTATGACGTTCCGACAGTAATTAGCTAGCTTCATCAGGCGACAGCCAGATTTGGAGAGAAATCCTCCTGTTTCGTTCCTTAAATAGAGTGGTAGATGTGATGAGACTTGTGTGCTCATCTTGCACGAAGTGGGGGAGGGGGTGAATACATATAAATGAAGATGGGTATCCATTGCCATTTTGGTTATTTACATAATTAACGTACATTATTGAAGCCCATTGTTCTTGAATTTCTTGTCGATTGTGTAGACTAAAACACCCGTACCAACGGTAATCCCTTTTGAAGTATGGTGACCTGTATAGGCATGCATTTAAACAATGTATAATTTGATTATTAGCTTCCAAGCAGCACTAAGCCTGTAGCTATCCATACAATTAAAATTATTTTTATTTATCTCAATTTCGATAAATTCTCTAATTAGTCTTGGCCAGTAGTAACTCTTTTGCACAGAACTTCAACAATATGAAAATCAATTGAGTGTCCTTGTTGGCACGTGTGTTCTTCCACTGCTGACAGTTGTATTTAGGAGTATTTAATATTTCTTTGGTGTTCTTTTAGTCTCGTGCTGATCATTCATCCTGTTTGCCCAACATAGCGTTTGCCACAAGTGCAAATAATCCGGTACACACCTTCTGTTGATAGCTTCAGTAATACATCTTTTGTAGCAGATATACATTTCTGAATTTTATGTACCATTCCAAATCTGACTCGGATGTTTTGTTTTTCCAAACATCTGGCTAGTCTATCAGTTACTCATGCAATGTATGGTAGTTTAATAGTTTGAATTACTTAGTAAATTTCAATGCTCGTATTATTTGATTTGGTTTTAGCATTCAATGCCCTGTTGATTTGTGCATCATTGTCACCGTTCAATTGCAGCACTTTTTTAAAATGTTAGGCCTATCTGAATGCAAAGTCACACCATCACTCCGCACAAAAATGGCTCTCATCAACTGCATGTCACGTTTAAAAAGTTACTCATCATTCATCAAAATTGATGGGAGTGACCTAGGAGGGTGTTTCTCCGGACAAACAATGCAGATTAGCCGATTATGCAGATTCTGTGTGCAAAAATTTACCAGAAATTAAGTGCACAAAGTTATTAACGTTGGGGGTTTTGATTGTTTTTTTACCCTTTTATCTGGCAACAAAACTGACACCTTTTATACAAGGAGTCATGTTTACATAGACCACAATACCTGCGGTCATAATGCAAACAAAACATAACTCTGATAATGTATGCACTGTCCTTGAAGTTGATTGGTCCAAACCCAAGACAGCCAAAAGGCGCCATCTGGTCCAACACCATGTGAGACTAGGTTCTAAGGAAAGCGGTCTCGGGTGTGGACCAATCAACTTCAAGGACAGTGCATACATTATCCGAGTTATGTTTTTGTTTGCATTATGACTGCAGGTATTGTGGTCTATGCAAATACGACTCCTTGTAAAAAAAGGTGTTAGTTTTGTTGCCAGATAAAAGGGTAAAAAACGAATTATCATATTTTTTACTGGCAAATGAGGTTCCAATGGTGTTGGGGGTTTTGTTGAGCAGTCATTGGCGACTGGCCCGAAACCATCAACCCACTCCACTAGAAAACACGAGTGAATTACAGGCAGCTCCTTAGATGAGAGAACACACAGGGGCCTCGGCGATGCCATCTCAGTGCTCCAACGTCTGGTCCACCAACTCTTCATGAATTGCAAACAATTGATAAAAAAGTTGACTTAAAAAATGTAAAGCTTACCTCTTGATTTTTTGGTGTTTCAAGATGTTTTCCCACAACTTGCATAGCCAAGGACAACATTTTCTCGAGGCACAACAGCTGGGACTATAAACAAAAGTGGCAAGCGTTAATGTTTATTTGCATAATAGAAAAAGTTATGTTATGCAGCATATTTAACTTATCACTGTATATAGAACTCAAAGACCAGATTACTTGGTCTATTTAACTACCAGTAACGTACAGATAATTCATCAACTAAACAGGAAATGGACAGCACATGGAAACAAATATGTAACATAGTTCCACCAATACACACGCGACCAAACCTTTTTACGCAACCCTGGTGATTAAATGGATTGTCACAATTCAGATCCATAATAACATTTTAGCAAGAGTTTACACAAGTGCATAAATATCCAATGAATAAACTACCTGCTTATAGTCCGTAAAAAAACAAGTGTAATGGTATTTAATTTGTGATTTCTAGAATTTGACTGATAATACAATAAGGTAAAAAGGTAGAAAACTACTCGTACAAATCCAGCAAGTTCGCGTAGTTGGCTGGCTACAGTATTGTACTGTCGGTTCAGTTTACAAGACATCCGTCAACAATTTGCCTCATTGCGATGAGAACCCAATGGGCCACTAATTCTTAAATTTAAATCAGTGTTGTCAATCGAGTAAAATCCTGCCGAATCCAATTTCGCATTCAGCTGGACCAATGGCGGCAAAAACAACAAAATAATTCTGTACAGCCTTCAAGCACCAACTAAGGGCACATGCCTCACAATGAACACATGCACAATAGGTGGTAGGCATTTGGGAGCTCTGTGTAGCTCCCTATAGGCCTGTCTCAAGTCTGTAAACATCGCAAGTGGGGAGACAAAGGCGGCCGGGCGTGGTGCTGGCCACCCAAACCCCTCGTGTGCCGTGCCGGCCTTCATAGGTGCTCGCTCACAGCACTTGCCCCAACAGTCTGGTAAGGCTACAGGAAGATATTTTGTCTTGTCTTTGTTTTGTCTGTTATCCCCACACCTCTTTATGCTCATCTTTGGCTCTTTCACTTCTTGTGTATTGTTTTTATACACTTCAGATGGGCATCAACACACGATACCGTACAGCACAATCGTTTTTGATTCATAGCATTCACATTCAATACTTTATGATCTTTAGTAACATGAAATTGTTATGTTTACTACAATTTTCTCGTTGAAATGCTATATTGGATTAACAGGGTTATTTAGATTTCGATTTAAAGCTTTCGTGACTGCAGGGATTCATATTGTTGGTTCTTTCGGTAAAGTCACGTAGAAGGGAAATAATAAAATAATAAAAATAAAACTATTTTATTATCACGACGTTTCGATTGCAACACAAGCAATCATCATCAGGCGTGAAAACCACAGCAAGAAAATGTTCTTGCTGTTGATGATTGCTTGTGTTGCAATCGAAACGTCGTGAGAATTGTATTGTTTGATTTTATTATTTTATTATTCCCCTTCTACGTGACTTTACCGAAAGAACCAAGAATAGGGTTATTTAGGTTTTATTATATTCTTATTTTGTTATCAGCTAGCCGCAGCAGTGCTCAGCCCGATCCATCCAGCGAGCAAAGGTTTTACCATATTATAAGTATCGAGGAGTCTTTTCATGCTAATATTTTTAAAGTAAATAGTCTCGCTTCTGTTTGCCAGTCATAATAGTTTCGTTTTATACAGTGTCATTCATGAAAACGATTAACATTTTCGACGCATGAAAGCGCGAGGAACTACAGAAGTGGGAATAAGCAGCCAAGCAATGAGCCAGCTCCAACAATTGCCCAAACTCTGTCCTCTCGAGCATTAAAATGTTTTCAGCCAATTCATGCGAGTTCAGTGCACGTGGGAGGAAACCGGAGCACGCGGAGAAAATTAATGGCTCGGAGGGGACAAAACTATATCATACAGATGTAATTAGTCCATATTTGTGTACTGCCTTCTCCTGGCAAGCCAGGGTATGGCACCTCGATGCCCACAGGAATGGAATTTCACATTTGTTCGATCCACCAACACATTTATGGATTAGTGGCGTGCATGGCCACCACCAGCACATAAATATATCTACAGTTTCATGTACACTATGTGACCAATAAGATCTACGATTGAGATATGCACATCTTTTGTAAAAATCTTACATCTATTTTCAATGTAAAGTAAAGCAGTGTCAAAATGGTGAGGTGCATTCATTTAAAAAATAAATGTAAACACATTATCACAGCTCCAAGCAAACATAACAAAGTTACGTTTACCTGCAATTTGCTTCCCAGGTTCTCATATTTTTCGTAATCCTTATCCCTTTTTCGGACCTCCGATTTTATCCATCGGACCTGCTTCATCAGCATGGCTCCGTCGATGTCACCAAATTGCCTTTGGAACGCAGCTTCAACAGTCTAAGAAAGTTCAACATAACAATCATTGCCAAAACTTTACATCAATTAATAAGGAAAAACACTCAACTTTTTTATCACAATGTAAGAGTTTACACCACTGGAACCTCATTTGCCAGTAAAAATATGATAATTGTTTTTTTACCCTTTTATCTGGCAACAAAACTGACACCTTTTTTACAAGGAGTCATGTTTGCATAGACCACAATACCTGCAGTCATAATGCAAACAAAAAACATAACTATGATAATGTATGCACTGTCCTTGAAGTTGATTGGTCCACACCCGAGACAGCTTTCCTTAGAGCCTAGTCTCACATGGTGTTGGACCACATGACGCCAAAAGGCGCAAAACTCAAAGACAATGCACCATCAGAGTATGAGAGCTCGGGGGTAAGCATTTACACCATTGGAACCTCATTTGCCAGTAAAAAATATGGTGTCAGTTTTGTTGCCAGATAAAAGGGTAAAAAAACAATTATCAATGTAAGAGTTATTACAATTGTTCACCCAGGAACCCTCACCGAGTCGCAAGACTATTGCAGGAGGGTCCTGAAGATTTTCACAATATGGGAGGATGATGTCTACATTTCTAAATTAAGATAGAACATTGTTATGGTGAAGACACCCACTGTATTCATACACCTCTGACTAGTACGTTAAGCTATGTAAGATGCGAAAGAAGTTCAACATACATATATAACCCACTATATTAAACCAGGAGTCTGCAGGATTCCTATCATGTACCTCTACAACATGGAACACGTTACCAATAAGCCACATCATCCCCCCTAAATACTTTTTCCAGTCACACCATAGACAATTTGAAACCTTGACTTGTGCATTACACAAACTACATTCCACGTGTTCTTATATTCATTGAGCACACAAAGCATTCACCCTTGTGACCTTATTAATGATTCCATTGAGACGTGGAGATTCTTGCTGGTTGTAGGCAGCCTCGTTATCACTCGTGGTTACATCAGTGGTTGCTTTGCTTCGTTTTGGCATGTGCTCCATCTCGGTATCATCTTCCAGAGCTGTTCTTTTCCGAGAAATCTTACCTACAACAAAGATTGAACTTTTTCAGCATCATTGTTACAATCATCAACTTTGTAACAATCAAATATGTGCTGTAATCCAGTGCTAAATAACTACATATTAATTATCATTATTTATTTCATTTTTAATAAATATTTTCTTCATATTCGGGGTTCTTTCGGTAAAGTCACGTAGAAGGGAAATAATAAAATACAAATAAAACTATAAAAATTCTCACGACGTTTCGACTGCAAACATCATCAGGTGTGAAATCCACAGCAAGAAAATTTCACACCTGATGATTGCTTGTGTTGCAGTCGAAACGTCGTGAGAATTGTTATTGTTTATTTGTATTATTTTATTATTTCCCTTCTACGTGACTTTACCAAAAGAACCAAGAATATGAATCCCTTCAGTCAGGAAAGCTTTAAATCAAAACATTATTTTATTCATTGGCATTTCTCCAATTTATTGTTTCCGACAAAACAAAATAATCCTGAATGTGCCAAATCTTATAAAATCTCAGAATATAAGATTGTACATGGTTGCTAGTGCAGTCGAATTATCCTTATCTGTAAACCTATATTATCTGTAGAACCTATAGGGTCAACAAAAACTTATATTTCTCCTGCAACTCTATTATTCCTATTATTTGCATTATTTCCCATCTTACATTTTGCAATGGCTTCCCATTTACAATTTGTCATGGATAAGGAGTCAATGGCACATTCATCCTATTATCCACCAGTTTTCTGCCAATTTTTCCAACATGGTGCCAAAATCCATTTTCAGAAATGAGAAACTTTTTTAAAAGCCATCCAGGGATGTGGATTGATGACACGGCATTCTCAGCATTATCATCGAATCGACACTTCTTGAACCTGTAAATAATGTCCATTCATGGATAAAGTTGTTCTTTCAAATGTACGTTAAAATACTAATGAATTGCCTTTCAACCACTAATATCTGAACCAATTACATCTGTGGCCAAGAAGACATGTATAAGTAAATTATATTCATCACACGAGGCAGTGGAGGAGTTATTCAGATGGAACACAAACGACTTGGCTTCCCCATGAAGGGGAATCAATTTATTGGATGAGTCATTACCAACGCGCAGAGGGTTTCTGGATTTGTTTCAAGGGGGGCAAAGACTAAATGTGGAGACCAATCTTGATTTGAAGCTTTCGTGACTGCAGGAATCCATACTCTTTGGTTCTTTCGGTAAAGTCACGTAGGTAGAAAATAAAATAAATCACGCCGTTTCGGGCACAACACAAGCATCCATCATCAGGTGGGAAAGCGTGGTCTGCTGCTGAGGCAGACTGTTTATGCTTGTGTTGCGCCCGAAACGTCGCGATTTATTTTCTTTTCTTTTATACCTACGTGACTTTACCGAAAGAACCGAAGAGTATGGGGAGACCAAGCATAAGAGTTACAGTAGTACAGACGAGTAAATATAAGGGAATGGATAAGGAGTTTTTCAGCAAAGGTCAAATTTTGCCAATGTTAAACAAGTACGGGTACATCTTCTTGGTTCTTTCGGTAAAGTCACGTAGAATGGAAATAATAAAATAATAAAAATAAAACTTAATAAAATAATTGTCACGACGTTTTGGCCACAACGCAAGCAGCCGTCTGAAGGCATTCTGAAGGCATTCAGACGCTGTCTTTCTGACAGACCTGTTCTTCACCTGAGGACGGCTGCTTGCGTTGTGGCTGAAACGTCGTGAGAATTATTTTATTATGTTTTATTTTTATTATTTTATTATTTCCATTCTACGTGACTTTACCGAAAGAACCAAGAAGATGAATCCCTGCAGTCACGAAAGCTTTAAATCGAAATTGAAGTACGGGTAGTCGCGGAAATGTGAAAGGGAAGCGTTAAAAAATAATAGCAAGGTTGTGTTCAGGAAATCAACAGAGGGAAAGAGATGATGGGACAGGGATGAGGGTTACGTGAGGTAGGGGAAAACAATTATTTGGGTTTTGTAAGGGTTAATGAACAGTGACGTGACATCCAAGGTTGGATGGAAACCAGACATGATAAGATATAGGAAGCGAGGTTATGGGAAAATAAGAACATTTGGATATCATCAGTGAATAAATAATTAGGAAACTTTAGTGAAGGAGTGATGAGTCGTAAAATAGAGAAAACTATGGGAATGAGCACAGACCCTTGTGGAACACCAACAGTGAAGGGGGCTGGGGGGGGGGATAGAAAAGAGTAGGATGGTCAAGTGTCAAAAGCTGAGGACAGCTCAAGGAGTACAAGTAAAAAGAGAGACCAGCATGAGCAGAGTTAGCCAGATTATTCTGAGCCGAAATAGACGTTTTAGTTGAATGAGAGGGATGAAAACCAGATTGGAATTGGGGTAGAGTGAGTTAGAGGAGATGTAGTGAGTAAGATGAGAGTGTGCCAGACAAGCTAATTGTTTTGAGAAATAGGTGAGAAGAGAAATGGGGCAGTAGTTGGCAGAAGAGGTATCAAGAGATAGTTTCTTGAGGGGAACAATAATGACTGATTCATAGATAGCGGTAAAGACACCAGAGGAGAGGGAGGAATTAAATTGAGAAAATTAGAGGAAGGAGTCCAGGTATAAGGAAAGCAGGGATGGGATCGAGGAGAGAGGAAGTGGGATGGGCCTTAGAGATGATGGAAGATAGTTCTGTAGTAGAAGTTGCAGAGGAAATGGTGAACGCAGTCATTATGGATTTGACGTAGGGGGAGGGGTTTATGAGGTGAGCTAGAGGACGAGGTAGATAGAAGGGTAGATCAAAGAGTAATCTTGGTAGAAAATAGGCAAAGTCAAGAGCTGAAGTGAGAGTAAAGGGAAGAATGTATTGGGGTAAAGGGGTCAAGGAGGAAAGAGAAATAGATAGGGAGAGGAGGTGATTGGAGGGCGGGATAGTGATGGAGGCTTTGCAGCCAGAAATGAAAATGACCTAAGTGTTGCCAACGGTGTGGGTAGAGGGGAAGGAGGGCAGTGGCAAAGTTGGAGATTCAAGTCTCCAAGAAGCATAAGGGGTGGGTGACAGAAAGAATGGAGGGAAAGGTCAGTTAAGGTGGTCGAAGGAATTAGGGAAAGTGATCCTTGAACGCAGGTAATTCCCAACACATGAAAGAGTATTTTCAGTAGAATTCCCTTGATGGAAACCTGATTGTATTGTTTTTTGAGTTCCAGTGGCTTTTTTTCAAGGTAATGAAATGGTACCTGATTAAATGGAGGAAAATTAGAAAGCTGCTAATATACTGGGCTCGCGTGGTTATGCAATGCAATTTAGTTTGGTGGGGAGAGGATTGCAAATGGGAGACATTAGGTTGGAAATTATTTTAATGTTTATGGTGACAGGTTCAGGGTTGTTAAGGGTTGTTAGTGCTGAAACAGGATAGACAACAAGAAAAGTTGACTCCAGCACTCGAATGCAATTCCCAAGTTCTCTACATTTTCAGACTAGAAGGCGATTTTTGTTGACGTAGAATCCCCTTCCTCGGTCCATGAGGAATTCTGAGTCTGTTTCACTTTTTTTCCCATGGACTGACCACGATGTGCTTACAGGTCACTCAGAATTGTGCCCATTCCTCTCCGCCCCAGACCTGGAATCATTACTTCATGCCTCTGTCTCAACACGCCTGGATTATGGGAATGCCCTCTACGCAGATATACCACTTGGATTGGTGTGGAAGCTCCAGTTAGTGCAGAATGCAGCTGCCCGGATAATCTGGTGGGTAAGCCTTTTTGAACACATTACGCCTACCCTCCACAGCTTGCACTGGCATACCCCCATGTCGGTGGGTGAGGTGCGTAGTTTTGTAGGGTTCGCTTCTTATTATCACCGTTTTGGGCCCGGGTTCGTGACAATCGCAAAACCTCTCCACGTTCTCACGGCTAAGGGCCAGAGATTTCAATGGGGGGAGGAGGCTGCGTTTGTCGTGCTGCGGGATGGTCTGGTCAACACACCTCCCCATTGGTACCCTGATTTTTCGTTGCCTTTCGTCCTGGACACGCCAGTAACACCAGAATTGGCGCCGTGTTGTCTCAGGTTATGAATGGAGTGGAGAGCATAGTTGCGTATGGAAGTCGAGTACTGTCCCCAGCAGAGCAACGCTACTGCGTGACACGCCAAGAGTTGTTGGCCATTGTATATTTTATACAATACCGTCCGTACCGCTATGACAGAGGATTTGAGGTACGCACGGATCACGCGGCTCTCCAGTATGCGTTGCGGGTCGAAAAACCATCCGGGCAGCTCTCCCGGTGGCTAGAGGGGTCCTTCACGACTACTCGTTTACGGTCTTCTACAGAAAAAGTGTTCGCCACGGTATTGCAGATGCACTGTCAAGGCTGTCACCAAGGAACCAGTGTGCATTTCTGCGGAAACAGGGTTGCCTCGTACTGTCGTGGCGTCGATGGTCGTTCCACCCCCCGATACTGCCGACGCGTGCAACAATATTATCGGCCTCACGTATACTGAATGGGGGCGACTCCAAGCGGAGGACGCCTCCTTATTGAAGCCGAGGCGCCGCGTCGGGAGAGTAGAGAGTGGGAAGAGCTAACGAGAGTTGTCCCCTGTGATTCTCAAAGGGGGTCTTGTTGATGAAATGGGATTTGAGAGATGCAACGCTATAGCATTGTAGTGCCCACTGTTCTGCAGGGTAAAGTTATTCGAGCTGCACACGAACGATTGATGCACCTTGAAGTACAGAAAACAGTCAACCCTCAGACTTTCTTCAGGCCCGGAATGTCGGGGGATGTTTACAATGTGTTGAAAGGGTGTGTGGAATGCGCTCGCCGAGAATGGGCCGTCCACCGTTGCAATCTATTGGTGTGTCCCGGATAAACGAACTCATCGCGCTCGACGTCCTCGGGCAGTTCCCCACCACTCCACGGGGTAATACATATTTATTGGTGGGGGTGGAATATCTCTCTCGCTGGCCGATGGCCTGGCCGCTGACAGACCAGTCGGCTGTGGCTATTACGGAAGCATTCCTTCATGGCTAGGTGTTAGATAAGGGGGCCCCGGAACGCCTACTTACGGACCAAGGTAAAAATGTTTCATCGAAATTGTTAAAGGAAGCGTGTGATCTGTTGGGCACCAAGAAGGTTCGGACTTCGCCCTATCACCCCCAGACTGATGGGATGGTGGAACGATTGCACAGGATGCTGACGTCTATGTTGTGCCAGCAGGTTAATGAAGCCCAGTCCGACTGGGACTTGCACATTCCGGGGGTTCTCGCGGCCTATAGAATGGCCCCTCACGCTTCTACTGGATTCTCACTTTTTTTCTCATGTACGGGAGGGAACAGGACCCCCAATTGAAGCTCTATTAAACACGGAGCTGAGTAAGAAAAAGATACCTGGCCCTATGCACATTACCCTTAAATGGATATCTGAAGCACGAGAGGCTTCGTGTTTAATAACTAATATCTGAAGCACGAGAGACTTCCCGAGGGAATTCGGCCTTGCGTCAGGCTGCTAATGAAAGGCTAGTGGGGCTCCGTGAATATGGAACTAAATGGAAACTGGGGGATAAGGCTTGGCTACACTGCCCCCAGGTGCCGGTGGGTATGTCCTCAAAATTGTATAAACCTTGGCAGGGCCCGGTCGAAGTGATAGAGGATTCAGTTCAGTCACCAGCGTTGATTTGTACATCCGTCGCGACTGAAACCATTTTTTCCACCTTGCGGGATCCCTTCATCTCCACTACCCAAGGGCTGGGTGTCTGATGTGTCCGACGAATTGGGGCGTGTGTCCGCTGAGGTCGTGCCTCAGGGGATTTCTGGTTTTCCGCCCACAGCATCCTAGCACCTAGCATCCTTGGAGTCACCGGTTGCGCCGACCGGATATGGATTGAGAATGGAGCGGCAGTCCTTCTCTTCTTGTTGGTTCTCCTTCTCGGGAGGGGCCGCACCTGTTAGGTCATCTTCAAGCCGTCCCCGGGACCCCTGGGGAGCCTGCTCCCACCCTTCCTAAGGGTCTGGCGACAAGGACGCGTTCAAAGTCCGTCGGGTTCAAAAGGACTCTCCTCCAGCGTCCTATTTATCCCTGCACCGTCTGTCGGTGGTCACACACACGAGCCAGATTGTATTACTGGTTGAACTGGGTTATTCTTGCACTCATGGGTGGTGACACACTTACGGTGTAAGGTTGTGTATATTGTCTAGGGGTCGGGTCGGTTGTTGTATATTCGCGGAAGTTTTTTTCTGGTTGTTGTTGGTTGTTTTATCTTAAGGTTATTTTCTGTAATGGTATATATTGTTCGGTCCATGGTTTTTCTTGGGTTTATTGTTCTACAGAAAATTGTTGGAGGCAGATTCTTGTTAATTGAGGGATAGTGATCAGCCGGGACGGCTGTGTTTTATAAGGGGGGGGGGGTGATATAATGACGTATATTGGGTTACTATGGCGCATAGCGCCAGTTACTTATGGAGAAGAAAACTGGAGTGTAAGTAGCCCACTCTGCCAGCAGGGTGTGCTATGCCATGGTAAATGGTCCCGAAAGAGCATGGTTTTAGCGGTGGGCAGAGAAAGCATGTGAGGACGTAGCAGCCCGATTGGCAGGCAAGGGCACGTGACAGGACAGAGTAAGGATGTGGGCCAAAGGTGACAGAAGGGACATGTGATGTAAGGCCCAAAGTCTTCTCGGGAGTTGTAGAAGGGGCGTGGCCGAGGCGGAGCCGGGCCACACTGAGGGGCATAAAAGGGAGGTCCCGAGGTCCGATCCGGGCTGTCTTCTGGAATGGAACCCGCCGTGCTACGTCTCTTCGATCTTTGCTCTTCATGATCGGCATCATGGGTCAGGCAGTGTGTTAACTGACCTGACCCGGTTATTTAGTTACCCCGTGGTGGTTACCGCTATATAGTTATCCCATTGTTATGTTTATGCAGTTACCCCATTGTGGTCATAGAATAAATGTGTTGCCTCCAAAGTCAAGGGTGTCTCTCATGTGAACCCACTACACAAGTCTCTAAGACCAGTCTGTACATGTCACAGTAGTCAAAAATATGGAAACTGTTGACTCTGATAATGCCCAATCTGAGACAGATGGGAATTCAATGTTTTTTCCGTGGAGAAAAACATGTTTTTTTATTTTAAATGTTCTGTATGAGCCTGGAAATCGATTTAGAAATCTAGGATCACTCGTATAATTTGCTGAGAATCCAGAGACACAATATGAAGTGGAGAATGTGCAGGCTTAAATTTCCTCAAAAACTGTTTATTTGCATTGAGGAAAAGTCTTAAGGGCAGCCAATTCCAATTACTGGAAATCAAAAGCCTGCTGATGTTGATGTTGGAAATAAAGATCATCCAGATATCTGATAGATACCATAAGGGCTGTGACATTAGCAAAAACCTTTATATCAAAGTCGATTTGAGATTTACCTCAGTAGTTGACAGAACAAAATAGGGCCCAGGACAGAGTTGAGGAACGCCCTTTGTGACAGGGGTTTTATTATCAGCTTTCTATTTTACTTAGATTTTAACGATACTTGTGAGTGTAGTTTTACGTTTATGTACAGCACTTTCAGATACAGGGGATCCCCAATGTCTTCTCGACATACATTGTTTCGCATTCACGTTGATAACTTTGAGGAAAACGTAAAATGTCCCCGAATGTTGTTTTTGACTCAGTTCAGCGCAGCCGAGTCAAAAACACTGCATGGGTGCAAAGCAGTTAGCGCGCGCTGTGCTACGAGCCCAGCAACCAAACTTCGATTCCCGCTCACAGCTACACCAGTGATGATTATCATTTTCAATCATTATTTTTGATTTGGCTCAACTGAACTCGGCTCTGGCGGGTGAAAAGGGCGAGATGTACTGTACAACTCGCTTATGCATCCCATCTTCTTAGTCTGATCGTGTTCTCTCACGTGCATAGAGCATGCTCATTGTAATAGGTGCCGACTTTATCACAAAATACCAGTAGAAATGTCTACACAAACTGAAAATGGTAAGGTAGGCAACTACGGACCCAGCTTATTGCCGAGTTGGAGAAGTTTAGGCATGCCAATTTACTTAGTAAAAAGTTAGAGTCTCAAAAATCTTTTAAGGAGGGTCCTGACAAGTTTTTAAGTAGGCGATGTTGCCATGTATTTGAGTAATTTGCTGCAAAAATTTCAACATTGGGATCTTTGGCCGATACCATTTATATTGTTTATTTTTTGCTATGGGATTAAACTGGAGAACCCGGAGGAAGCCCATGCAAAAAGGGGTTAAAACAAACTACACACAGAAAGCCACCCACGTCAGAAATCAAACTCAGGTCCTTCTTGCTGTGAGGCAAGTGTTACTGCTCCGCCACTGTATTGTTATATAAGATGTCTAACCAACATAACTTATCAGGTGAGGAACTAAAGTTCGAGGTTATATTTAAGTTTGGGAAGATAAACACAAGGTAGAGTACTTGAAATAAAAAGTAGAAAAGATGCCAAATACTAAATATTGTACTTTTTTTGAGTATTCAAAGAAAAATAATTATATGTTCGGGATATTGTACTGTTGAGAGGACTGCAACTTAGGAGATTGTATTAAGATGTAAACTAATATGGACACTAATGTTAATTTAAACTTTTAACATTCTCTAACTCTCAAAATAGTGAGGACTCAGAGGTGCAAGGAACCACAGCAGAAATGCCAGCCAGGTGGTGAGCAGTCGCCAAATTTCCTACTAAACTCTGCGGTCCCTAGTATTGACTTAAAGCTCTCGTGACTGCAGGAATTCATATTCTTGGGTCTTTCGGTAAAGTCACATAGCTGGTTCAAAGAAAATAATCAAAAATAACAAAACGATGTTCCGATCGCAATGCAAGCGGTCGTCTTGCATTGCCATCGAAACATCGTAGTTTTGTTATTTTTGATTCTTTTCTTTGAACCTATCTACGTGACTTTACAGAAAGACCCAAGAATAGGGGGGTCCCTAGTATACGGTATTTTCGGCAAATTATTGAATGGTTTATATGTGGAAGGAAACCGGAGTACTTGGAGAAAACCCACAAGTGTCATTGGGCAACACTATCCTGTACAGATGGTACAGGTGGAATCCACATTTGCTGTACCACCTTCTATCAAGCCAGCGTATGGCACCTCAACCCCCATGGGAAGGTAGTTTCACAGCATGTGTGATCCACCAACTGTTACCTCCACAGTACTGGATTACAAGTATGTGCCATCACCTTCTTACAAATGGAAAGAACTTATATTGAAAATGTTTATTGCAATGTATTCTAGCAAATTATGTAGAATTAGAAATTAAATTACTTACCACTGTATTCCTGCGTTAAGTTGGGTATTCTGTCTTCTTCAATGGTTTCACCATTACTTTTGGAACAATTATCCGTTTCCTCATTTTGTGTTTCTTCCATAGGGTTAACACCACACTCATCATTGCCATCTTGTATACACGGATTCCTCAATTCTTCACTAGTTTTGTCCAATATTGCATTTGAACCAGTGTCCAACTGATCATGGTCAGTATTAGAGCCACCTTCTGCTATTTCCTGATTTTCTTCTTCAACATTTTCAGCTTCAATAAGTTCAGAGTTTTTTTGACAAACGGTTTCCATTTCGTTCAGGTTTGGGTCTTCATCTGGCTCATCTAGCTGTGAAGATTTGCTCAATTTTGCACAACCTACTTTGTCAATTGATGGCATATCATTCTCTGTAAATGTATTTGGATTTTCTGGAGTTGCATGAGTTTCAACTTGACTATCCAATGATTCAGAGTTGTTATTTTGAACTACATCTTGATTATCCATGTCCTGAGGTTCCATAGTATGGCTTTCGGATTCAAAATCCTGATAATCATGTTCAGTGGCAATATGTTTTAACTGACCACTGTTTTCACTGGATCCTTCCTCAGCACAATTAGGCTGAGAAACGTTTTCCTCATTATGCATGCAATATACATGGTCGGTCTTAAAATCCTCAGTGTGTGAATCTTCACTCATGTTTCCATTCACCATGACTTTGGAATCATTTTCAGTGACCATTTCTTTCGGGTCCACTTTTGACAATACTGTTAATATTTGTATGTTTAAACTATTTGGCTCCAAATGTACCAAGTCTGACCTATCCTCAGAACAAACATTATCTATTGCCTGGTGGTCTTCAGCATCCATATTTATAGAGCTAGCCCTTTTTGGAGAGACTTCAGAGAAATCTTCCAAACTTTCATTAACATGATTAAGATCATTGTTCACATCTCCATTACAATTATAGTTTGCTATGTTTTCCTTGGTGGAAGCTATGTGGTTAACTAAGGCATTCTTAAGAATGGAAAGTTGTTTTCTGTTGCCAATAGGCAACGTTTTTCTTGCCTTGTTGACAACTGCTTTTAACAACTCATCTGAAGAGCATGACGTATCATGCAACCTGCACGAGACCCAACATTGGACAGAAGGTAATTAGCATCAAATACAGGAATTAATTTAAAATCAAACAAAAATTAATATGCAAGATGGGCTATTTATGGTGCATTAGTTCAAAGTACATACATGTACAGCAGATACTAAGTCAAATCCAGAATAATATCAATATAATGAAGTGCCTATTGTAGGTTTAAGAGGCTATACAGATTGAACAGCATAAATTATAACACGTAGGCTTTCGCGACCAATATTATCCATTCGTTTTTTTTGTTAGATAGCGTAAATATAAATGTGTCAGTTTAAAACATAGGCTTTCGTGAGCAATATCATCCATAATACAGATTTTTTTGGGTAAGATCGCGTAAACATAAATGTGTCGTTGCTGTACTAGTAACGAATTGCCATAACGTGTCATTGCTGTACTTGTAACGAATTGGCATGTTTGTTTACGTGACAAACCTTACTAATTGGCTGTGTCAGGGGGTGGCGGGTTTATTGACACATTTATATTCACACAATCGAACCCAAAGAAAACTATATTATGTAGAAATGTGTCGTTAAAACCTGCTACCACCCAACAGCCAATTAGTAAGGTATGGCACAAACAAATGCAAATTAGTTACTAGTTCAGCACACCGGTACGTTAGGGAATAAACCCACATTTGCTATTAGAGTATGACGTTTACCCGGTAATTACAACCAGCCTCATCAGGCGACAGCCAGAATTGAGAGAGAAAAACTCTATAATGAAGTATAAATTATATTTTAAATTATACCTTCACGTAAACTTTTGAAACAAAACACAGTTTAAAACCAGTCATACAGTGTTCCTGGTATTGCAGCAACTATACCTCGGCGGTTCCTGTGTCCGGGACAAAGACACAAAACATGGCCGTATGACCATCGTCTCTCCTGTTAAAACAGAACGGTGGGAATTATAACACACTCATACACTCGCTCAAACACTCACGCGTATCATATACACTATAGCTGTTTCACTCAATTGAACAAATAAATTACGGCAAACTGAGAATGGGGGAAAACAACAAAAAAAACCGTCACCAACTGCCTAATCGAGTAATCACGCGGTCGAGTCAGCTGGTAGAGAGTACTGAAGACTTCAACAGTTTCGCAATAGGGTCACGTGGTCGCGAGTGTGAGGCTTACATACACACACACCACACACACATGTGTATGTTGCTATGCTATGCACGATTCAACTACCGAGCACATTCCACTCTTCCAACGATTCAGGGCAGCGATGCCATTGACTAATTCATGTTAGTCTCACGTGTTTTTTTTTAATACCGTATTGTTAATATAGTTGCGTGTTACCTTTTGCTAACGCGCCTACATAAACAGTGTGATTTGCCTAAGTAGTGCATAGCACCAGTACGTGTTTGAGCGTCAGAATACATCTTTATCAACACATTGATGTATCTCACTGCAATATACTACACACTGTACACAGCAAATGCTGTACATCTGATCATACACTGTATACGGTCCACAATGGACTGTCAACTACTATTTGGTGAATTTTCACGATTCCAAATCACGATTAACAACAAAACGTTCCATTAGTTGCTTTCGATGTCTCGTCGTCTCAATCGGTTTGTTTTACCTCGATTATTTTATTCCGACTACAGGTAACATAGGTAAAGGTGTCAGTCAGCCCTGCAATTACTTGCAGAGGCTATTGCTGCTTCCTAGAGATGGTAACTTAGGCATAACTTCTAAGCTGGCCAAACGTCCTTGAGAGATGGAATTACCCACACTTTGCCCCACCATCATCGACCTGCCGATGGAACACCATATAATGTACTTTCTATCAATCGTAGTCGATTATCAAACCCCGTGGTAAGCTTAATCGACTGCCACAGGTTAACCGTGCATGCTACCCACCACACATCCTTTTCGCTACTATCCGCTATTTGCCATTGTGTATACAGCACAGAATACACAATATACTTCACGTAACGTAATGCGTTACACCCAACACCATACACGGGACCGTAACATATACGACACACCATATCAATAATTATGAATAAAATACTCTTAATATACATATACTGTACTTTATCATACAAGCTCACGCTGTTAACACTCAATATGATGCTACCGTGGTGTTAATGATTAAACACCGTGGATTTGCAACTCAATCTACCGACGCTGCAGCTGCATCGATAAACCAGTTGCCTGTCCACCATAAAGTTCGCGCCTAGTTGTGATTGCTTCCCCAAGACTTCTGATCGTCGTGGAAGAGTAGGCCAAATACTTTACTCTCCAGGAGGGTTCCCGTTGGAACTCCCCGAGTGGAGGAGACCCTTCCGCCAGCAGTGGCGAGTGAATGTAATCTGCGGGGCTGCGCTTTCACCTTGGCACCCAATTAAATGCTTAACACAACTTAAACATAACCCAACGTCGCATAGAGTACACACAGCGGCGTGTATATACACACACCCATCGCGCAGTACTGTACATGTAACACACGACGTCCTTTAAACTTTTAAAATCAGAATTTGACTGCGGACAAACATCCTTAACGGGCGGACTGTAACGCAAGCCTACTGGCGTATTGACGTCGGTATCGTAAAAACGGCGCGAATCATCTAACGCACACACGTGTCGAACACACACGCATCATCTCATCACGTGTCTAACACACACCCATCATCACACCACGTGTCTAACACACACGCATCATCTCACCACGTGTCGAACACACACGCATCATCACACCACGTGTCTAACACACACCCATCATCACACCACGTGTCTAACACACACGCATCATCTCATCACGTGTCTAACACACACCCATCATCACACCACGTGTCTAACACACACCCATCATCACACCACGTGTCTAACACACACCCATCATCACACCACGTGTCTAACACACACCCATCATCACACCACGTGTCTAACACACACGCATCATCTCATCACGTGTCTAACACACACCCATCATCACACCACGTGTCTAACACACACGCATCATCTCACCACGTGTCGAACACACACGCATCATCACACCACGTGTCTAACACACACGCATCATCTCACCACGTGTCGAACACACACGCATCATCTCACCACGTGTCGAACACACACGCATCATCACACCACGTGTCTAACACACACGCATCATCACACCACGTGTCGAACACACGCATCATTACACCACGTGTCTAACACACACGCATCATCACACCACGTGTCTTAACACACACATCATCACACCACGTGTCTAACACACACGCATCATCTCACCACGTGTCGACCACACACACATCATTCATCACACGTGTCTAAAACACACGCATCATCCACACCACGTGTCGAACACACACGCATCATCACACACGTGTCTAACACACACGCATCATCACACCCAGTGTCTAATCACACACAAGCATCACACACGTTGTCTAACACACACTCATCATCTACACCACGTGTCAAAACACACGCATCCTATACACCCGGTGTCTACACCACGGGCATCAATCACACCCGCGCCTAGCACACACTCCTCACCACACGTGTCGACACACAGCTATCATCATCACCACGTGTCCTAACACACGCGCATCATCTCACCAAGTGTCGAACACACGTATCATCACACCACGTGTCTTAACACACACGCATCATCTCACCACGTGTCGAACACACACGCATCATCTTACACACACGTATCTAACACACACATCATGACACACACGTATCTAACACACGCATCATCTAAGCGCGCCGGAAAGCGCCACTTGCATTCACTTAACGTCGCACGCTCAGCGCGACGTTCGGTCCGAGGGGGGGGGGGCAATACCCACGGTGACGTCACCTAACGCGCTTGGATTGTGGCCTCGACCACGCGCCGCTACCGCACGGGAGGGGGGCACACAACACACACCAACACAACCACACACACACACCGACACACCAACACAACCACACACACACCAACACACACACCGACACACCAACACACCAACAACACCAACACACACACCGACACACCAACACACTCCAACACACACACCAACACACACCAACACACACACACCGACACAACACACACACACCAACACACCAACACAACACACACAAACACAACCACACACAAACACACAAACACAACCACATAAACACAACCACACCAACACACACACCGACACCAACACAACCACACACACACCAACACAACCACACCAACACACACACCAACACACACACCAACACAACGCCACACATACCACGCCAACACACCAACAAAACGCCACACACACCTAAACACAACCACAACAACACAACGCCACACACACAAAACCACAACACGCAACCACACCAACACACAAAACCACACACAACCACACCAACACACAAAACCACACACAACCACACCAACACACATACAAAACCACACAAACCACACACAACCACACCAACACACATACAAAACCACAACACACAACCACACCAACACACGTACAAAACCACAACACACAACCACACCAACACACACAACCACAACACCACACACACCAACACACAACCACAACACTACACAAAACCACACCAACACACACACAAAACCACACACAACCACACCAACACACACCAACACACAACCACAACACCACACACCGCCACACAACAACCGCAACACACACACGGGAGTAAGTTCCATCAATCCGACTTACCTTCTTCCATAGCCGCCTTCAGCTTGTGCCTCGGCGATAATTCTTCCCAGTCCATCACGACCGCCTACCACCACCCCCCCAAAAAATAACAAAAGTCAACATCAACAACAATAACAACAAACGTGACGGGCTTTAAAAACACCACGTAGGGCTCGGCTCACAATGCCGTCGGTAGTCACCCACCACCACCACCACCCACCAACACCACAAACACCCACCACCACCCACTCCACCACCAACACCACCACAAACACCCACCAGCAACACCCACCACCCACCACCAATACCACCACCCACCACCAACACCACCACCCACCAACACCACAAACACCCACCAGCAACACCCACCACCACCACCCACCAGCAACACCCACCACCACCACCCACCAACATCCACACCAACACCACCCACCAATATCCACACCAACACCCACCAACACCACCAACACCACAAACACCCACCACAAACACCCACCACCACCACCCACCAACACCACCCACCAACACCACCCACCAACATCCACACCAACACCAATACCACCACCCACCACCAACACCACCACCCACACCACCACCCACACCACCACACCACCACCCACACCACCACCAACACCACCACCACACCACCACCACCACCCACCACCACCACCCACCACCAATACCACCACCCACCACCAACACCACCACCCACCACCAACACCCACCACCAACACCACCACCCACCACCAACACCACCACCACCCACACCACCACCCACACCACCACCACCACACCACCACCCACCACCACCCACCACCAACACCACCACCCACCACCACCAACACCACCACCCACCACCACCACCCCGTGCGAGAGAGCGCGAGTGAAGAATCCGAGACGGAGAGACGCGAGAGAGGGGGGAGGACGGAGTGAATAGAGAGGGGGCAGAGTGGAACCACGAACATTCGCTCACCGTTAAGCCATCCACTCCACCACCACCACCACCAGTCTCGCAACTAAACCCGACTACAGTAACAAACCACCCCCTCCTAACAAACTACAGCTTCCACAGCCACTCCGACACAACACAACCTTCCACAACTAAACTGCACACGCACGTGTCCTTTCAACTACAACGCCAGTTGTGCATTACAGCCGAGCAACAACTTAAACATCAACAACAAAACCCTCCGAAACGCGCACCACACACAAAAATACTACCACCACTACTAACCACACTACCACAACCCCCATTGTAACAACCTGGACACACCAACACCACCAACACCACCCCCAGCGTCCGCCGTAAGCACCACCCACCCGCGTGCTCTCGCCAACAACAAAAGCCGCCGCCTGTTGTCGCTACAGCCCCCGAGGCAAGGTGGTTGCTTGCTTGGTTGTTGTTGTTGGTGGTGTTGTTGGTGGTGGTGTAGAGCTCCCCCCGCCCCACCACTACAGTCGGAGTGACGCCGGCGGGCGGACGGGGGAAGGAACGCGGTGGCGACAGCAGTGGGGGGGTAGTGGTGGTGTGGTGGACAGCATCGGCAGACACGGCCAGGGTGGTGGTGGTGGTGGTTGGGGGGTAGGAGGAGGAGGAGCGAGAGAAGAGAGGTTGGGTGACGGGAGATTGAGGAATCGTAGAGACAGCAAGCGATGGTAGAGGGGGGGGTGGAGCGAGGAGGAGGAGGAAGGGGGTGGTACAGCAGGAAGAATGTGGACAGCAAAGGGAAGAGCGTGGGGTAAGGGAGGAGCAGGCGAGGAAGAAGAGGAGGAGGCGGGAGTTGTGGGCACAGCAGACCAGCAAAGCCTCTCCCTCCTCCCCCCACCACCCCACAACCACTCCACGAGTTGTTGTTGCCCCGCGCGATCGCTCGAACCCCGCCCCAAGTGGCAGGCGGTGGAGACCGAGACAGGCGTAGAGAGAGACACAGTCACCATCACCCAGTCACCACCATCACACAGTGCTGTGAACCACCACCATCACCACCCCCGTGGGGGATGGGGCTGGTGGTTGTGTGCATTGCTCACCAGGAGCACGGAGGAGCCATGGGCGGAACCAAATGACCCCCCCCAACCCCCCACCACCAAAACTACCTCGCTCCTGTTAACGAAGCCCGCGGTCTTCGTTCCAGGAGAAAGTGAGACGCCCTGCACCACCGCACAAGCCGCCACTTCATTGCGTGGTGGTGGTGGTGGAGGGGGGGTGGGTAGCGAGAGGGGTGCACCGGCTGCGTGCCGAGGTCCCTGGTAGAGAGTACCGGGGGCCCCGCCCCCACAGGCGCAGCTGCACAGCCCCGCCCCTCCCCCACAGCCCCGCCCCTCCCCCACAGCCCTGGGCCAGTTGTTAAGACTGCGAAGAGGGGGCTTATGTGTTGGGTTGTAAAATGAGAATGCCGAGCTTGAGGTGTGGGTATCGAATCGGTACTAACGACGCAACCGGGGACTAAACTCGTCTTCCACAATACAGTTGACGGAAAATTTCGGTTTTTTGTTGTTGTTGTTGCTTGAACCAATATTTAATCGAAAAACAACACTCGCTTGCTATTATTGTCGTGTGACATTAAATCGGCGGCGGTTAACATTAACATAATTGATCTGCGTTAAGATGAATAGCCATTGTTCACATGCAACAATAATGAGGCCTCGTGTCTGCTTCACCCCCCTCCCCCGCCCGTTGCCCCCCTCCTCCCGCTGCGTTGCCCTGGGCAACGCCCACGTGGTGCTGCTGTTGAGTTGGCACGTGACTAGCGAGAGAGACGATCCATTTGGCAGCAGTTCCATAGATCGGTTTAGCCAACTCACTAGAAGCGAACACTTCGTGTGGGTTAGTTAAATCATTCACGTTATGGTGGGGATTTTTTTTTCTCACTCAAGCTGCCTTTACAAGAATTGAGTCACATTCGTTATCGGTCACTAAGCTTATTTTCCTTCCAAGTCAAAATGGCCCCTGCTGGTTCTTTGTTGTTTTAAATGCTGAACATGGGGAAACTGACTCATTGCTAACTCCAACCACGTTACTCGGTAACCATACTCACTGTAATCGGTGACAAGAATATTTAAAAATAGTTCAAGGCTATTGCTGTCTCCTGCACACGACAGCCAGCAACAGATAACGATCCAAATATTTGGTTCATACAGAACAGAGCGGCCATGTCACGACACAGTTACACCTCATGCCCTACCCGGAGGCTCCCACAAGCAGATTTACATAACATACTTTAGTTTTCCCTTTGCCATTTCAGTTAAAGAACGAATTCACTTCGGTTGCTAAGTGCAACCAGCCTTGGTAAATAATGTAAATATGTTTTGCAGATTCTTTTATGCATGAGTGTAATTGGGGTCAATCTGTACTCTGTGCTTTGATCTTGCCTGGGTAAACAATGCTTTTATTATTCAAGTTAATATTATTCAAGTTGCTGAAAAGCTCGTGATCAGCTGTAATAAAAAAAAATAGACAATTATACAGTACGTCATAACCGAATAAATTACGCTTATGCAGTACATTTAACGAGCTGTACTGAGGCTTTTTACACCAGCAATACACAACTAAATTAGCACTGTTTTTTTACGTACATTGAACGTAAATGCAAAAAAAAGTCGGTGGATGCTATTTTTTTTCCATCATGTTGGGCAGTATAATAGCCACGCAGCGGACGCTGACACGAGCAACGCCTTCCCTGGTAGAGAGTACTGCCTGCTGCCATGGAAAATAACAGGAAACAAGAGCAGAAAACCGGTTCAATCTGGTTGCAGCTGCTTTGGTAATTCACAAAGACAGCTGTGGACATTTGGGTGCTCACATGATGCGATATTTTCACGCGTTGATCTTTTTTTACCATCAGCAAATGAATCTCCGTGGTCGTGATAGTCATGCGAGTTAAATTTACATGTATTTATTTCCCTCTTCCCCCATACAGTTTTAAAAAGGTTGCGCAATACCTAGAAACATGAGAACATGCATTTTTGAATATTAGTGAATTGTGATTTATTAAAATCTCGCTAAGATTTGTTTCATATTGGATGTGAGATGTTAATACACATTTACATGTCCATCCCTTTTTGCCAATTCACTGCTAGATTAGAGCCCCCATACCACAGAGCCTCTACATACTTGCATGATGGTCATTGATTAAAATACTATTCAGATCTAAACCTGTACAGCTCCGGAGGCCTGATGAGTTTAGACAGTTTGGGTGATGTCAATGTATACCATAGTGGTGAGCATAAACATCTAATAAATACACATTTACAAAGCCAAAGCAAGTGGCTTTAGTTTGTGTAAAAAGTGAGTACTATAATACAGCAGTGTGAGGGTTGCTCTTTTTTAGTAATATGGAAGAGGAGTTCAGATCTATTTTCTTTCTCATGCAATTCCCTCAATTCTATTCTGTTTAGGATTTATATAGTGCCCTTTCCAGGATGCTTTACAATGCATCCAGGGCCCTTTACAATGCAATAGTAGAGGGCACCAATGCAGACTTTTAAAAGTGCTTTAACGGCATCCTAAAAGTGGACAATAACTCCATCAGAAATACACAGTCTTAACGAGATTTAGGATTTATTAACTATGCCTTGAGACACTTTGTCCAAGGACGCAAATCAAACAATGACAGATAATAACGTCACACATCTACATCACGCCCCCACGTGTCAACAATTACACAACACTGAGTATAACAGACTTTTAAAAACTGTTGCGTATCGCCCTGGCGCGTCGACAAATCACAGAACACCGAGTACTACTTCTCGAAACTTGAAGAACAGACATCTACACAGCATCCCTGTGTGTTCACAGAAAACACGACGACCATTCGTACCAACCCTCACGCATGCCCCGCTCTTGGGTGATAGGATGAGGCAGCATACATCCATGGAACACGAATCTGCGGTCAAGGTCGTGTGCAGTCTCAAGGATTCACTGGACCAAACACTAGTGTCTTGGTTTGCATTTACATCTGCGCTTTTGATGTATCCACTCAAAAAGCGGTCTCTGGACTCCATGTGACTAGGGTCTCGGGACTTGGCTGTCACCGCCAACCGCATGTTGAATAACTCAACACGCCTGCAGTCTTGGTCCCGTAGCCGCCTGCCCGGCGGTCGTCGCTGGTCTGCTCCCCATACCCAGTGGCGCCCGCTTACATCCACAAAATTATTCCCACCATCACGGCCTCATTTCTCTCTCCCTAGCAGCCAATCAGCTACCTGCTGCAAGGCGGCAGACATTTGTCTGTCGCCTCGTGGAGTCCAGAGACCGTCTGTCGCCTCCTGGCTCCTATCAATCAACTTGGCATATGAAGCGTCCTCCAATCGGAACCTCGAAAATTCGTTATCTTAAACCTTATTTTTTGTTGGCAATACTTGACACCAATCAGCGCATATCACCGTTGACTACTCCCTCACCCCACACCACCTAGCCTGTCCTGACTGGCCAATTTGTGTCCCACCCCCAATTAAGGCCAGACTGAGTGATGCCATTTCACACTCACCTACACCATTTCAAGCAGGACTTTAATACAGTATTAGAGGTGATAAATAATAACCATATCATTGAACCTGTAATCCGTAGGAGATCGCTAAAGTAGTCCCGTAATTCGCGAAAAAAGTTGTGCCAATGTGATGTGCCGTGAATTATGACAGGAGTAAGCCAGGTGATTCCATTAGTCTACGAAAAATGTGCGAATTACAAGGAAAGTCCAAGCACATGAGCTCCAGTTCAATTAATTCACAATAAATAAGTAGATTATAAAGTTACAATGGTGCAAATCTTCGATATGGGTCTATTTTCAAGGGTTTTTTTGCACTTTTTAGACTTAATATCCAAGTAAAAAATCAAGATTTATGTTCAAACAAATCACATCAGTCCAGCTAGCCTTGTTTATACATGTGCAGTGACACAGCGCTGACTGCTGTACAGCAGCTGCAACTGCAGGTAGACATTTTGCGCACACGCCATTGAGCATATACACGGGTGTGCCGGCAGGGCGGAGGAACTGGAGCAAGGGTCACGGTAGACCTCATAGGGAGGCCCCTGGAACCCTCTGATGGGTTTGAGAAGGGAGGCGCGGCTAAGGCGGAGCCAAGCCACGTTGAGGGGAATATAAGCAGCAGGAAATCGAGAGCTCTGGGCTGTCGGTTCTGGGAGTGGACTCATCTCGTTGTCGCTGTCGTCGTCGCCGCCTTCATCACTGCCGCCTTCGCCTGATCATTGTGCAGCTGGACAGTAGTTGGCTGTCTCGGTCGACGCCGTTGGTACAACGCGGACAGGGTCGTGTCTGGGCCGGGCCGTATGGCAGCGTGGTCGGTAGTAGGTTGGTAGCTAAATCAGCACTGCCATTATCTCCAGGCTGCCTAAGATAGTTTCCCAGCTTACCCTGACCTCTTACCGACTTACCAGCATGGTACATTAAAACCCCGCTAATGCCGCTCTTTGCCATGTGTGGCACAGGGCAATCACATTCTAGTCTAACATACAAAATACAAGTGTAAGGGGCACATAAGGATGCCTTGAATAACTTAATTAAGGCTGGAGGTTCCAGGATATTCCAGAAGAAATGGGAGAGGATCAAATGCAGGAGTGACATCAACACAAGGGTTATCGAGAGACTGCTTCCGAATGCGTGTGTGTTCTAGTGAGGGATTTTGAATAAACCGCTTACCTGAACATTGCCTCATTTGGACTCCCTGCCATCTGGTGGCAACATTGGGATGATGTCTTGTCCTACTCGATGAAACCCCCATCGAAGAGAGTCCAAGTAAGTCTGGGAGGTTGAGGAGGAGAGAGACAAGATGGAGGTGCTAGACGAGTCAAGTCCAGAGACTCCCCTTCTCTTAGACTTCCTCCCCAGGCCGACGCCTGTGACTGCCCCGCAGCCATGGGAGTCATTGGAGCCAGCTCGAGAACCAGCTCTAATGACCCCGGGGTCTGCATCAGGGGCCACCTGGGATGGCCGACCTCTGCTAGAATAAAGGGTGGACTTGCTAGTAGAGGCGGTCACTTGCCTTCTGCAATGGATTGCAGAGGAAAGCAGCAAACCCCCAGGATGGAGTGAGGA